GGGACAGGAGAATGGAAACAAGATGAACCAAACAGAGATTCAACTTAGGGGTCTCAGTGATTTAGCAGTTTACCAACTAGCAGAGCTATACGAACAAGAGGAGGGGCCGGGTGAAGTCTGCCCCCTGCAGTGCTAGAATCCCATAGGACGTTGGTCCGGGCTGGTTCACTTCCAAACCAGCTCCCTGTGCCTGGGAAGGGAGAGGATGATGGTCCAAGCACTGAACCTCCACACCCTGGTGGGAGACCCAGAAAAACATCCTGGTTTTGGCCTTACCTAGCACTGGCTTTTGCAGGGAATTTGGGGAGTAAACTAACCAGTGAAAGATTCTCTCTCCTTCTCCTTGTTAACTCTGCCTTTCAAATAAACAAAAAAATAAAAATTTTAAAGATTTATTTATTTTCACTGGAAAGGCAGATTTATAGAGAGAAGGAGAAACAGAGAGAAAGATCTCCCATTTGATGCTTCTCTACCCAGATGGCTGCAGCAGCTGGACTGAACTGATCTGATACCAGGAGTCAGGAGCTTCTTCTGGGTCTCCCATGCAGGTGCAGGATCCCAAGGACTTGGTCTATTCTCTGCTGCTTTTCCCAGGCCACAAGCAGGGAGCTGAATGAGAAGTGGAGCCGCTGGGGCATGAATTGGAGCCAAATGAGATGCCACATTGGGAGGTGAAGATTTTGGCAGTTGAGCTAATGCACTGGTCCTAGTAAAATGTAAATCTTAAAAAACAAACAAACAAAAAATAAAACTAGAAGAGAACAGGTCTGTAGAAAATTGGGAGAAAATAAGGAGTTCTCATCAATACATGTAGAGTTTGATATGATTGTAGGTCATAGAGGTAGAGATGTGATAAACAGCTGGCATTATACACTGGGTTTCAAAAGACTGGCGAGATTTGACTGCATTAGCAATTAACGTAAATCAATGGGAATGAAAGAGTCCATCCTGGGAAGCTAGTATTGTCTGACAACAATACTTAGTGGAACACTGATACTTAACAACAACAACAACAGCAAATAAAGAAGGAAAAATAGAAGCAGAAAGAGAAATATTGCAAGTTGCGGTCTTCAAGAATCAGGAAATAAGTATCATGGATAAGGAAGAAAAGAATGCTATCATGAGGAAGGATGGAGGACTAAGCATCTTTGATTAGTGGGTGGAGATGGAGTAAGGAGAAGAGAATTTTGCAGTTGCAGTGGGAAGTATCTTGCTACTATTTCTGAGCTAAGGCAGTTTTGAGTGTAAAGCATTTAGGATACGTTCATCAGATTAGTTCATTGAACTGAGGATCTATGGATGGAAGAATTCAGCAAGCTGTGTATCTAATTTGGTAACTCACAAATAAAGGTAGTAAACTAACTTATGTTGAAAGAAAGCATTGAGAGGGGCTTGGCACCATGGCCTAGCAGTTAAAGTCCTTGCCTTGCATGTGCTGGGATCCCATATGGGCATCAGTTCTAATCCTGGGAGCTCTACTGCCCGTCCAGCTTCCTGCTTGTGGCCTGGGAACGCAGTCCAGGATGGCCTAACGTGTTAGATAGAAGACCTTCCTCTCTGTCTCTCCTCCTTTCTGAATATCTGCCTTTCCAATAAAAAAAAAAATCTTTTAAAAATTAAAAAAAAAAAGCACTGAGGAAGAAATACAGGATATTAAAGTCTTCTGAATTGAAGGAACTGCTCTATTTTCTAAATGATACTGATATTTTTCAGGCTTTCAGATAGACATGACAATTGCATTATTAAATCTTAACACATTTTTATTACTTCTTCCTTCTCTATATTTAATCAGTTACAAAATCCTATAGATTCTGCTGTTTATCTCTCTACCCTACCTTTTTTCTTAGTTCAAGCAATCATCCCATATCTGATGCCGGCACTTCGCAAGGGGAGGATTAGCCATTGAGCCTTTGTTTTGGGCCCTGAATCCCGAATTCTTACAGGGGATCTAATCGAAAGTAAACAAGAGAGTGAAGGATTCATTTTTTAGTCTGTAAAGTTAGTTAATTTGTTATTCAGTTCAAGTCAGTTGTGAAGCACTAAACATTGGGAACAATTTGTGAATCACTCAGTTACCTATTTTGCGTGCAATCACCGTCTGTGAAAATCTGTTTGTAGAACACATTTTCACTCCACAAACAGTTCCTGCATTGGAAGGCAAGTGCCATCGGAATCAGATTTATGTCTGCAAGGCATAGTCTTTCTTCCAGCTCAGTGCTTCACTGGTTGCTTAACAGTTATGGAATGAATCACTTATGGCTAAGTTAACCACAATATCCAAGCTCTCAGTCAACATGAATATACTTGGGTCCAGCTTATTTATTTTAACAATATTTGGAACCAATAATGTGAAGACAACTGTTTATTAAAGATCAATGTACCACATTTGTCTTTGGTATGCTAGCTTTATAGAAACTGCAACAATCTGGAGATGACGGGTCATGCTTTGTTTATAAGGCACCTGCCTCTTCTACGTGCATGTAGGTTGTTATCATGGTATGCCTTGATGATCTGATTTCTCTCTGCATTGTAGTGACAAATCTAGACTGGAATTTACATTTAGCTATTGTTTCTGGGTTCTAATGCATGTCATAAACTTTACTAGGTTGGGTCTGGTGCAATGACTTGCTTAACTATTTCTCTCCCAAAGGGGATCACATGTTGGAGCCGGTTCATGTCCTGGTTGCTCTACTTCCCATGGAGCTCCCTGCTTGTGGCCTGGGAAAGCAGTGGAGTTGGGCCCAAAGCCTTGGGGCTCTGCACTTGCATGGGAGACCCAAAAGAAGCTCCTGGCTTCAGATTGACTCAGCTCCAGTTATTGCGGCCATTTGAAGAGTAAGCCAATTGATGGAAGCTTTCTCTCTGTCTCCCCTTCTCTCTGTAAACCTGCCTGTCTGATAAAAATGAATAAATCTTTTTTTTAAAAGTTTACTAAGTGATCCTGGGTATTTTCTTAAAACCTCCTGTGGTATCATTACTTGTAAAATGGGGTTAATGATGTTTACCCATGGGTTGTTCTAAGAATTAATAAGGTACCTGCTTAGGTGCTTATCACTGCATTTTCATTCTTGACCCTCTCTCTTGCACTTTGTTAGTTATATTGTTAGTTTGCCTCTTCAGATTGTACAGTCCTGAGAGGCAGGCTTCTATCTGCATGCTTTATACATCTTTATACCCCAGCAATGAACTTGGCTGCCTTATTATATTTCACAAACACTTGCCTGGGAAAGGAAGGTCTGAGAGAATGAAGATTGTACTGCTTTCTATTCATGAGTTAACCTGATACATATCCCTTAACAAGGATCAAACATAGGTTGTTCTAGGGAGGGGCAGAAAATTCATACAGTACTAGTATACACAGTCAATTGTTAGATCTGAGTGGGAAGTTTGCTTAATACAGGGCACTCCACACAACAGCTTCAGACAGTAGCTTGGGGTTTTTCAGAGATGAGAATTTTTGGAATGCTGGACACACCCCAGTTGGAGTATGCAAGCACATACCAAAACGAAATTTCAACGACCGTTTTTCTTGTCTTTTTTGCTATCAGTTTTCATAGCATTTAGGGTAGGGCGGACTAAATATTGGTGAGCTAAGCACGCATAAGCAGACTACTTCATTCATTTTGGGGACATCATCACAAACTTTTCAGGCATTCTAAGGTTGCATGACAAAAATTAGGAAAATAAATGTAGGCTTTCATGGCATGTCTGAACTGTTCTTTGGTGTTGTATTCCAAAGCACAAGAGGTCTTTCTCTGGATTGTGGATTCTGGAGATGAATTCCTCCTTCTTAGTTCTACTTACACCAGCAAGGAGATGGGAATCACCTGGGGGAGTTGTATTTCTGTTGATAGTGTGAGACTTGGCACCACAGTCAGAAAATGAATTTCATTTTAGCAATACAGCTTTCATCTTAGCAATACTAATTATCTTCAGGAAAACCTGAATTCCTGGTTGGGCTTTTAAAGTGGGAAAATTCTCAGGTTGGGGGAGGGGTGCAGCTAGGACACCGGTTTCGGGATATTCTAGAATCTCACTGTGCATGTTACATTCGTTTAAGTTCAAGCTTGTTCTTCCTAAAAATTCCAGAAACATAAATTAGTTACCCCGAGGCTGCTTTAGGTTTCACATACAGCAAGGTTTCAAATAAGAGCCTGTTGGCTGATTTGACGTCCCTCACTGGAGGTTCCAGGAGTTCCAACCTCTGTCCTCCTCCCTACCACACACCATCACAACTGTGAGTCAAAAATTGCTTTCCTAAGCTTTTAAACACAGGGAAATCTTAGAACCCCCAGGAACCAGGAGGGCGCGTTCATCAGGGAGGAACTGACTTAGACAATAAGAAGGCGTGTTTTCCAAACAAATTTAGGGGTGGCCGTCCCGAGAACCCGTTCAAACTTCCCTCGGAAATGAGATGTTTACCTAGTAAACAAACCGTAGCCACAGAAACACCTGCCGCTCTCCACCGCCACCTCCTGGCGACATCCGGGCATTTCTCTCTAGACTCCTGACGTCTGAGCGTCGGAGCCGTTGGGTTTATTTAAAATACACGTCCAACCAATCAATCGGCGCCCTGAGGAGGCGGGCGCAGAGAAGCGACCAATCGCCGCGCTCCTGCAGGCTCCGGCCTATGGGAAGGAGGGTGACATCATGCGCCAATCGGCATGGCTCTGGGAGCGAGCGGCTCGCTTTTTGAATCGGCCGCGTCGGCCCGCGGCGGGCCTTGATGGCGGCTGTGGGGAGAGTGTGCGTCTGAAGAGCTGGCCTCGCCGGTCGCTTTGGGAGCCTGGTGAGGACCCGGGAGGCGGGAGTTGGCGGGTGTTGCCCGGGAGCTGCGGATTTCTGTGCCTGCGGTCTCGGCGTCCCCTCCCCGGTGACCGCGGGTTCCGGAGCACCCCGGCCCCGGCTTCCCTGCTCCGTGGCCGGCGGAGAGCCCGAGCTTCCCGGCTTGGCTGGGCATCTCTCCCCGCTCGCGCGGTCGGATCTCTTCCGGAGGAGGGAGTTGGAAGGGATTTTGGTAAGCCAAGCGGACTTCTGCGGCTGTGGGGCCTGGCAGCTGCGCCTTATCTCCCAGAATTTAGTGATTTCACGCTGGGATTCTTCCTTGGCTGCTTCTCTGCAGGAAATTTAGTCTCCAGATTTTGCAAGGAAAAGCTAAGGCCAGCCGCCTCTCTCGGCCTGCGCGCAGGTGGGTGTGTGCGGTAGGGGTTGAAGTTTAGCCTCTGCAGGCAGCTGCCTCTGAATCCGGGTTTTGGCGTTTACGGTGTAGCTCGGGGGAGGTTACCAAACCTCGTTTCTCAGGTTTCCCCTACCTAGAAAATGCAGAAAATAATATCGTACCTGCCCCTTAGGATTGCTGCCAAGATTAATAAGTAAATGCAAGTAAAGGCTTTAGGACAGTGCCTGCCATCTATTAGTGTTAATTGTTAACCGTACTGCATTTGTGAATAACGTCAAACGGATACATCTAGTATTGTGGTGTGGTCCTTCACCCCTAGAAGATGACTGCTTTAAAAGAATTAAGTAAAAGGAAATCTAAAGTGGACATTAATAATAGTAAATAAAAAAGTGTTTGGGATTAAAAGGGTGTAGGTTATTGTCAGGATTTTCTTGTGTCCTTAGGTGAGAAAGAAGTTGTATGGGTTTAGAAGCACTGAATCCATTGTGTTTTTAAAGCTTCTGGGATACACGAATATGGCAGAAAGTGATTAATGTAGTTCATTTTGTCATTGCACTATTTTTATGTCATCTTTTAAAGCTCATTTTTCTCTGTACACTGAAGCTGTTTTAGCAATAAATTGATCATATGTAGTAACAATTTTGGCTATAAATCATTTATTTTGATGGTCTTATAAAGGAGGAGACATAGGACAAAAATGTAAACTCAAGTGATCTTTAAGAATATTTTTACCATCTGTAATTAGCACATGATTGCAAATTTACGGAGTACAGGGTGGTATTTGTGGGAGTTATGACAGGTATACTATGTAATGATCAGATTTGGGCCTTTGATAAACTTGATCACCTCAAGCATTTACCATCTCCTTGTGCTGCGAACAGTCAAAATCTTCTCTACTACTTGGAAATATACAGTTGTTGTCGACTATGGTTACCCTGTAGTGTCTAGAGTGTTTTAAGTTATGACTGCTGCACCCCTGCAGTAAACCACATTTTTAATCTAATTTTCTTCTTTCTGCAATCTTAAAGCAGCTTAGTTCATCTCTTTACTTTAAAAACAATTGTTGAGGAGAATGTATGTTGAGCCTCTTCTGTTTTACTGGACATGATTAAGTAGCAAGGGCTGCAGAGAACTTGTCGTTGATTGTTATTGCTATAAATGACATCTTACCACTTCCTTGGAGAGCCCTGGATTAGTGGGTAATGACATGGACGGTAAGACAATAAGAAACATCCATGTTGTGAATACTGCATGAGCGTAAATACCTGTGGCTCATTTGAAGACATCATCACAGTGAAGGTGAGATGTCATTGTCTGCGCTTTCCCTGGGGACCGAGGCTCACCGCCAGATGGAAGCCAGTTCCCTACCTCAGGCGACTCCCACCTGCTCTGGCCTGTTAGTGTGCACGTTTCACATTACCTGAGGTCATCATCCAAAAATGAGGCTGATAATTTACCATTTTTTCACAGCGTACAGGTTAAACTATTTTCTAAGAATCTGGAGGAAAATATTTGTGCATTTTATGTATCTGAAGAAGTAAGAAAGGATAAAATGGATCACCCATGTACTTCCAGGTAAGGATGGAGCTTCCTGTTTATATTTGTTTAATATTTTAGAAACTTTCTTCAAGATCATCGATATATAAAAAGACAAGTTTGAATGGTAGAGACCTATCAGACTTTTTCTATATACCCTGCTTTCCTAACTTTGAGTGCCATGTCCTACAGCTCTTGAAAAGCAGAGAACTTTTCACAGTCCAGAGTTGTGCTGGCAATAGCATGCATAATTGTCATGTCAAACTTTTAGAGGAGAGCTGTTTATAAAATGGTGTAGAATGTGGATGAGAGAGCAGTCCATTGATAATTGAGCGTTTTAGGGAAATCCACAAATGAGTTAAGAGAGGTAGGTTGGAAATTGGAATACCTGGTAGATGGAGAGATGAGTGCTGTTAAATGCACGTATCTCTAAAGTGACTGTGCCTTAAGTTTGAAAAATGCTGAGAAGTTCATTGTTGCAGCAGTACACATTACACTGTTACAAGTGAGTGTAGGTAGGTAGGCGCCGACTGTGTTGTGGATTTGATGGTGATTTATATAAAGAGGGGTCCCCAGGGGAGCTCTTAAGTGAGATATGATGTGATTGTGTGTACGTTCAAACCCATACTCCTGTAAAGAGTGTGTTTCTGATGAAAGGAATGGTCGAGTTGTTTGGAGCTGTTGTGTTAGACCAAGTAGCCACTTGAGGCGTTGGGCACAGAGAGGAGGGACCAGCTCAGAGATACTTGAGATGGGATTGAGAGGAGTTTAGAGGGGCAGGAGACTGAGGTAGAGGAGGGAGTAAGGACAGATGTCAAGTTTTCTACTGGCTTTATTGGTGATGATAGAAATGTTATGGTGACGTCATAAACTAATAACTAGAGAAATCGGTTATGGAAGGCAGAGGTGTGGAGGAGGGTGGCCAAGCAGTATTTCTGATTACCTTTTTGTTCATTATGTCTGGTAATACTCTATTTTTGATACGTTAGGTTATTTTTATGTCAGTCACGTATTAGGACCTTTATTTTGTGGAAGAAATGGGCTTTTTGTTTTATACTAAGGAAAATGGTCCTTTGTCCTTTTTTTAAAATCTGGGGACCAAGGTAGAGCTCCCAACGCTTGTTTTTGCCCAATGATGGATTGCTCCATGTGCTTACTGAGGAATATTCTTTGCAGGCAGCGTAACACAGTAGAAACCATGGCCGACAGTAGCGTATTAACATCCACTGCGGGGAGGGCTAGCTTGGCAGACTCTTCCATGTTTGATTCTAAAGTTGCTGACATTTCCAAGGACAACTTACCTACTGGAGCTACTTCATATGTTGATGGTAAGCTCATTACTGCTTTAAAACATTGTTATTTTAGTCCTAAACTTAACCAGGGTTTTCTTGTGATTGAACTTTAGTCAGAATAGAAGTATTGATGAGTATGACAGAATCCCCTTTTACCATGTAGATGTTCCGCTTATCGTTTGGATCAAAGCTCCCCGACTCTGAAAAGGGGGCGTGATCGTAATGTGTTGCTTATTCTGTATGTGAATACAGAATCTGTTCAGTTATAGCTGTTTTGGTGAATGGCATTTGTTTCTTCCGACTGTAGAGAAGTGTCTTTTTCTAGGCCTTGTTGAAGAGGATGCCTGTGCTTGCTATGAGGGGAGGAACGCTAATGTTTCTAAATCTTGCTGCAAAAGATTTCTGTTTTTCCAGGATGGTGTATGACTTAAGGATTTTTCTAGTAAGTTAAGAATGCAAGTTATTTTAATTGTAGAGAATGTTAGCCCTTCCAAGATAGAAGACATACCAGATAGAGCCGCATGAGTGGTTAGGAGCTATTGATAGTTCCTGGTAGTGATTAGCAATACCTGGTAACTGCTGAGAGTGTGCGGTAGTAATTGAGAATACCTGAGAAACCTATTTCAACATTGCACATTTTAACAGAGGAAATGCCTCAGATTGAAACAAGAGTGGTACTGGTTCGAGAAGCTGGAAAACAGGAAGAACTTGTGAAAGCCTTACAGGTATGGAGTTGGTTTATAGCTAAAAATGTTTTTCTTCCATCAGTGTGTAAAATAGTTTTCATAAGGTTTTTTTTGTTTGTTTGTTTGTTTTTTTTTTTTTGGATCTTATACTGAAGTCTCTTTCCCACAGACCATTAAAAAAATGGAAGTCCCTGTTATAAAGATTAAAGAAAGTTGTCCTGGAAAAGCGGATGAAAAATTAATAAAAAGTATTGTTAACATGGTAGGTCCCGTGTCTCACTGCATGTGGCATGCCGCACTTCCCTCGATTGTGTTATCCCACTTTATGGTGGTTGGATTCAGGCATGAGGTGAATTTTGTGCACGATGCTGCCAGATGTACAGAAACAAATTTATACTTCTTTTTAAAACTTGGGAGTTTCTGAAACCCAAAACTACAGCACATATTATAAATAGTGTCAAATTATAAGAATTTCATTTAAATTTGAACAGTATATAAATACAAAGATCTGATCCTTTTTTTAAAACTTTTTTGGCTTTTTCCCTCATTAATTTTGTATCTAGTTAGAATTCTTGACTGTTCCTGGATCCATGATCATAAATTTCCCCAGCTGACTGTCATCAGGGGATTTGCCTTAGAATATGAAATGCATCTAATTTCTTAATCCAGTTCTGATAGTTTGCTATCAACTCCATCACTAAAATACCCCCTACTGGGAAGTTCAGACAATGGAGATTGATCTTCTCATGGTGCTGGAGGCAAGGTTAAACTGTTGGCAGCTTTAGTTTCTTTTGAGACCCTCTTGCTTCATCCTTCCATGGACTAATCTCTGTGTGTGTGTGTGTGTATGTGTGTGTGTGTGGGGTTCTTCTCTGTGATATTCAAATTTCCTACAAAGGTACCAATCCTGTTGGCATATGATCTAATTTAATGATATAATAACACCTTTAAGAGTCTTACCTGCAAAAATAGGCACTTTTGGAGCTAGGGCTTCAACATGTAAATTTCAGGAATGCACAATTCAGTCCATCACGGCCAGCCTTGCAAACAAAACCCGAATCATTGATTGACTCATTGAGAATTTCCTTTTAAATGATTCTGTGTAGGTAAAGTATCTTTTTTTAGTGTTAGTTTATAAGTACCTTGCCTTTTAATATCTTGTATCTCTTGCTGAGACTTCCTGTTTTCCACATACTGAAATTGTTAGACGGTGGATATTTTTGTTGCACATGTTCAAAACAACAGCACTTTAGGTGTGTAAGTTTTCTGAAGATATTTTATACAGGAAAAACTAGATCATATGTCTAGAAAACAGTGCATTTACTGTCACATTAAAATATATATCAAAATGTATATACTTAAAAGTTTTAGCATTCTAGTTTTGTGGAACTAAATAGGCATGCTAGGTGATTTTTAACGAGCAGTAAATGACTAAATAGAAAAGTTTATGCTTTATAATATTGATCTTTAAAATTCAAAATGTAATATTGATCTTTAATATTTAAACACACACACACAGGAGTGTTTCAAACAATTAGATAGGAAAATGCATAGTAAAAAAGAAACTTTTAATTCTGTCTTCCTGTGAACTTTCTGAAGGACTTTTATAAAAATCCAAGTAAAGAAACAGCTTTTCACTATTAAGTGTAATTGATTGTTATAAGATTTGAAATGCATGTTTTCTACAGATCTGAAAGTTAAGATGTAAAATGTTGATATTGAATCGATTGCTAGGCTTTAGAGAATCATGAATTAAATTGTATAATGTATAAATACTTCTTATTTCCAATAATTAAAAATGAAGGAAATCAAAGTGCCTTTTGTCAAGATGGAATCACTTGAAGAATTGGAAGATTTGGATTCTCCAGAATTTGAAAATGTGTTTGTGGTCACGGACTTCCAGGATTCTGTCTTTACGGATTTACACAAGACTGACTGTAGAATTATTGGACCACCGGTTATATTAAGCTGTGCACAGAAAGGGGAGGTGAGCAGTAATACACATTTGTTATGGCTTTTCAAGGTTAGCTTCTATTAATGATTCGCAGGAAAATTTATAAGCAGGGATCTTCTGTTAATGGTTAGAGTGAAACATTTAGAGTAGGGTTAATAATGATAATCATTTAATTCACCTACTGTTAAAATTGTTAAAATTTCTTTTTATTTTGTGTTTAAAGATTTATTTATTTATCTTAAAATTTTGTAAATTGGAAAGTCAGATAAACAGAGAGGAGGAGAGACAGAGAGGAAGGTCTTCCATCTACTGGTTCACTCCCCAAGTGGCATCAATGGCCAGAGCTGAGCCATCTAAAGCCAGGAGCCTCTTCTGGGTCTCCCTCGCAGGTACAGGGTCCCAAGGCTTTGGGCTGTCCTCTACTGCTTTCCCATGCCACAGGCACGGAGCTGGATGGGAAGTGGGGCCTCCACGATACAAACTGGCACCCATATGGGATCCCAGTGTGTGCAAGGCAAGGACGTTAGCCACTAGGCCAAGCTGCCAGGGTCAAAATTTATTTGTAAAGTTACAGAGAGAGATACAGGAGTGGAGGGGGAGAAGAGAGAGAGAGAGAGAGAGAAAATTTTCTCTCTAGTAACTCACTCCCTAAATGGCTGCAACAGCTGGGACTGTGCCAGGCTGAAGTCAGTTTTACAAGGCACAAGAGGGGTGAGCTACATTGGGAGAGGAGCCACAACTCTGGCACCTTTTAAGTTTTATCTGTGGAACTCAAAATCCTTGAAAGTTCAAGAATGACAGCTAGATGCGTACACATATCACATACAACTTTAATACCTGTAATAGCTTCGAGAAAGAAGTTGCTTAAACTTGGGTTCCAGAAGTGACTACATAAACTTCTGTTTTCCTCCTCTTAGAACAGGTGTTTACATTTTTAGCAGGTACTGCATGATTCAGAATTAGGGAAATTATTTCTGCTTTTAAGCAGTAATTATATTTTGAAGCGTTTCAATGTTAAGAGGTTTAGTAGACCTAGTTCCCATTTGCTGGTGTTGCTGTTTTGACATTCTTAACCTTTGCTTTGCTCACTGCACATTTCCTGGGACGCAGGAAGCACATGATGACGTCATTCAGGCTGTGATTTAGAGGTTGCTTCCTAAAGCAAGCTTTTAAAAACCACAAGTATGCAAAAGAATCCTCTTGTTTAATTGTAGAAATCAGATGCATTCTTTTATTATTATTTAAATGGTGCTTACCTATTATCCAACAAAAACCTACATTTTTTAGTTTTTTTTTTTTTTTTTAAGATTTTAATTGGAAAATCAGATATACAGAGAGGAGGAGAGACAGAGAGGAAGATCTTTCATCTGATGAAACACTCCTCAAGTGACCGCAACGGCTAGAGCTGAGTCAATCCGAAGTCGGGAACCAGGAACTTCTTCCGGGTCTCCCACGTGGGTGCACAGTGCCAAATCTTCGGGCCATTTTCAGTTGCTTTCCCAGGTCACAGGCAGGGAGCTGGATGGGAAGTGGGGCTGTCTGGACTAGAACCGGTGCCCATATGGGATCCCGGATGTGCAAGGTGAGGACTTTAACCACTATACTATCATGCTGGGCCCTCCATTTTTTAGTTTTAAAGATTAGAATCATAAAAAGTTCAAGAATGTTTTATGTTTACCAAATGTTTATCATAAAGTACTTTGACCTTGGTTTAGTATCATTTATTGAAAGCATGTGCAATTTTATGTGGAGTCAGAGATCTTTGCTGATAGACTATTTCATCTAAGAGTTCATTTTGGAACAAAGAGTCTAGACATAATTATTTTGTGTTTAATTTGTGTAGCAAATATGAATCGGAGACGAGTTTTTTCCTGTGAGCATTGTGATTATTTAGCTGTTTACTTTGTGGGTATTGAAACATGCTGCTTTTTTCATCAAGAATTGAATGGCAAGAGGGGCAGTGTCTTTAGCTTAAGAAAGATGTATTCTTTTTCTGCTGAAGTGGAAACTTGCAAATTGAAACTGTGCTTTCTTTAGCCTTTGCCTTACTCCTGTCGCCCACTGTACTGTACCAGCATGCTGAACCTGGTGCTGTGCTTCACTGGATTCAGGAAGAAAGAAGAGCTAGTAAGTAGTACAGAGCACATTCTGTTGAAAGGACATTTTTGCCTGCAAAATAAGTTTAATCTGAGGTTATGATTTTATTTAAAAAGCATTGGACAACATAGTATTCCTAGGCCAGATTTTAGATTTTATGAAGAAAATTTTTAAAAAACCTTATAGAGAAATGAATGTTTTATCTAGAACCACTGACATATAAATTAACAAAAAAATTATAGTTATCTTAGTTATTTAGCCTTTTTGCTGTTAAGTATCCATTGACTACATAGGCTGTTGGTTTACAGATGACCATGATGTATTCTATCTCCCTAGAGAATTCATAGGACCTGTTTTGATTCACAAAATTTTATATGTTAGGGCTACTACATATTTAACTGTGATTTGTGAGAAAAGTCTTTTTTTTTTTTAATTTATTTTTACTTGAAAGGCATCCACTGGTTTACTTCTCAGATGGCCACAAAGGTTGGAGCTGAGCTGGTCAGCAGTTTCTTCCAGGTCTCCCTTATGGGCACAGAAGTGCAAGGATTGGAGCCATCCTCTGCTGCTTTCCCAGGCCCATAAGCAGACAGCTGAATTGCAAGTGGAGTGCCTGGGGCGTCAACTGGTGCCCTTAGGGGATGTTGGCACTGCAGGTGGATGATTAGTTTGCTGTGACACCTCGCGGGCCCTGCTAGAACATCTCGATGTGATATAAACTTACAGTACAAAACGAATAAACAAAATGACAGCCTGTACAAGCAGTATGTGCAGTGGGCCCACTTCCTGTCCGGTGGTGCCTGGATTTGCTACCCGACTCTGCTCTTGCTCCAGCTTTCTTCCGGTCACATTTCGGGGATGCAGCAGTGATGGCTTCCAGATGGAGTTCTTGTTGCTTCCTGCCTCTCCTCTCAGTTTGTAGCCTTTGTGTACATTTGAGGAACAAACTAGCTGATTGGAACTCTCTGCTTTTCGTAATATTAAATTCAATTTATTTAGACAATATAGCATTTTTTTTAAATTTTAAAGATTTATTTTTTTAATTGGAAAGTCAGATATACAGAGAGGAAAATCTTCTGTTTGTTGATTCACTCCCCAAGCGACCGCATGAGGCAGAGCTGAGCTAATCAGAAGGCAGGAGCAAACAGCTTCTTCCTGGTCTCTCATGCCAGTGCAGAGTCCAAGACTTTGGGCTTTCCTTGACTAATTTCCCAGGCTACAAGCAGGAAACTGGAAGGGAAATGGGGCCACTGGAATTAGAACTGGTGCACATATGGTATTCCAGTGCGTGCAAGGGGAAGACGTTAGCTGATAAGCTACCACGCCGGGCCCAATATAACATTTTTTTAAAGCACAATTTATGTGGCCAGTATTGAAAGCCTTTTAAGGTAAATTTACCAGTAGGCAAGCAAATTTCTTCCTTTTTTTTTTTAAAGAATTAGTTTTATTGCTAAGTCAGATATATACAGAGAAGAGGAGAAACAGAAAAATCTTCTGACCACAATGGCTGGTGCTGCACTGATCAGAAGCCAGGAGCCCAGATCCTCTTCTGGGTCTCCCAGGCGGGTGCAGGGTCGTTCTTTACTGTTTTCCCAGGTCACTAACAGGGAGCTGGATGGGATGCGGGGCTGCCGGGATTAGAACTGGCATCCATATGGGATCCCGGCACGTTCAAGCCTAGGACTTTGGCTGTTAGGCCACGGCACCTTTTTTAAAATACTTTTTTTGGCAGCATGCTTGATATTATTATAGAAGTTTTGCTTATACAATATAAATAGAAACTGTTGAATAAGTACAAAGCAAATTGTAAATAAAGTTTAAAATTTTGTTCTAATCTTGATGTGAATTGTTGTTTAATTTTTTCTTTTTGAGGTCAGATTGGTGACATTGGTCCATCACATGGGTGGAGTTATTCGTAAAGACTTTAATTCAAAAGTCACACATTTGGTGGCAAATAGTACACAAGGTGAAAAATTTAGGGTATGTACAGCTTGGGTCTTTTTGTGTATTTTAGTATGTTATGGTTTTGGGATATGTTTAATAAGGACACTCTTCTATTTCTCATAACTTAATGAAGGTCAGAAATTCCGGTTTCGCTAGAAGTTTATGTAGTACTGTTTTAAATCAATGGACTGTGGTGCCTCAGGTGTTATGTAGGTCATGGTTTTGGAGTTTAGTTGTTGAAGATGAGTCAAATTGTGAGGGTTATTGGTTGGAGAACAGTGTAGGGAGGTGAATGATCCTAGTGTGGGTTACTCTGAGCGCTGGGCGTGAGTGAGATGGGTCAGAACCCGAGGACACACATTTCACTCTTAACTAAGTGGTCTTTACCAGAATAGGGTGTAAAAAGAATAAGACAAGAAGAATACTTATTAGACTTGACATCTTATTTTAAAATTGTGGCTTAGGTTCTCAGCATGCAGCAGGTTGCCATTTATTCCTATCCTCTTGTTTATGTGGCAGATAGTAACTGCAGGGTAATCTTGAATTTGCACTAAACTTTCCATATGAAAGCGAAGGTGCTAATGATTTAATCACATGTTCTCTTGTGTAATTCTGTTTTGGTCAGTACCTTCCTAGGAAGTGACCCTGAAGAAGGGAAACAGAAGCCTAATAAAGGTGAATTCAGTCAAACTGAGAGATGTATTTAATTCAATTAAAATTAGAAAGAGTTTATTATTTATTTATTTAAATATTTATTTGTATTGGAAAGTCAGATATACGGAGAGGAAGAGAGACAGAGAAGATCTTCTATCCAGTGGTTAACTCTGCAAGTGGCCACATTGGCAAGAGCTGAGCTGATCCAAAGCCCAGAGCCTCCCCTAGGTCTGCCACACGAGTGCAGGGTCCCGAGGCTTTGGCCATCCTTGACTGCCTTCCCATGCCACAGGCAGGGAGCTGGATGGGAAGCAGAGCCGCTGGGACATTAACCGGTGCGCATATGGGATCCCAGGCTAGTGCAAAGTGAGGACTTTAGCCGTTAGGCTGCCATGCTGGGCCCTACTCATTTATTTTTAAAGATTTATTTATTTTCATTAGAAAGAGAGAAGGAGAGATTGAGAGAAAAATCTTCCATCCACTCATTCACTCCCCAAATGGCTCCTACGGCTAGAGCCAAGCTGATCTATGGCTAGGAGCCAAGAGTTTCTCCTGCGTCTCCTAAGTGTGTGCAGGATCTCAAGCTTTGGCAATCCTCTGCTGTTTTCTTAGGCCACAAGCAGGTAGCTGGATGGGAAGTGGGACAGCTGGGACCTGACCTGGCTTGTGTCCTTATGAGATCCTGGCACTTAGAGATGGAGGATTGTCTGGGAGGGCCATTGTCCTGGGTCCTGTTATTTTTATTTGAAAGGCATTTTTTTTGAGAGAGGGAGATAGAGAAAGTCTTCCATCCACTGGTTCACTCCCCACATGGCTGCTGTGGTCAGAGCTAAGCTTGTCTGAAACACAGCCAGAAGCTTCTTCCCAGTCGGATACAGGGTCCCCTGCTACTCCCCCACCCTGGGAGAGCTGGATTGGCATGGCGGAGCCAGAACGTGCATTGCCTTCCATTTGGATTGCAGGTGCCACAGGGTGTGGGATTAGCTTGCTGCGCCACTTTGCCAATCCCAGGAAACGGTTTATAAATCCCCAAACTTGTTTCGAAGTTATTTTAAGCTGACTTGTATAATTGAGAGTTTTGTCCGTTAATTTTTCTGAATATTTTGTTACAAAGTATGTGATTGATGTTGTAAAACCACAATATAATCCTTTATGTTGTATTGAGTGAAGTTACTTAAGGAGAAAATGCATTATGATAAATCTTAATAATTTTAGGTTGCTGTGAGCCTGGGAACTCCAATTATGAAGACAGAATGGATTTATAAAGCTTGGGATAGGCGAAATGAACAGTAGGTATTCAAAAACTTTTTCATTATGTTATTATGCATATTAGATTTTATAGATAAATTCATGTGCCAAAAAGACATATTCTTAGATAGTATTAAAAAATGAATTCAGCATTTAGTTAGCTTAGGAAGTAACATCTAGGAAGAATAAAAGTATTTTAAAAAAAAGTGAAGATTTAAAGACCTGTGATGTTTTTGAGCTTTACTTTATGCATGACTTTATTATAAATAGTCTAAAATTTGTAGAGAATAGTTAGGTGGATTGCGGTGTATTTTTATTTTATGAATATGCAGTTAAATTTTAATTGGTGTTTGCAGTGTATTAGCTTGTTTTACTAAGCTCTCCAACCTTGTAAATCTTTAATAAGCACCTTACTATAATTTTTCTGAAACCAAAGAATCCTGGAGCACATATGAAATTTCACATGTAGCACAAATATTTTAATCTTCTAAGGGTTATACTTTTGCGTATTTTGCAAGGCACAGAAGGAGAGATAGACACACAGAGGTCTTTTACTTGCTCATGCCCTCCCTGGATTGTTCCCATTGGCTGGCACTGGCCTAGGCCGAGGGCAGGATGCTGTGCTCCGACTGAGCATCCTGTGTGGAGACTTGAGCCATCACCTGCCGCTCCCAGGAGCACGCATCAGTACTTCGTTGGAGTTGGGATTTGAGCCCAGCCTTGGATATTGGGTGCAGTGCAGGCGTCACACGTGGCATCTTGACCATCTTGCCTGCCTGTGATTATATACTTCTGAGCCTGCTGAGGCTATGTCAGAACCAGATGTTCAGTATTTTCCATAATTGGATTATACTAATACTTTGAGCATTTTTTTAATACATTTCTAAATTGATATGCCTAACCAATGGGATTTAAGGTAAATGTCCTAAAAGAGTGTTTTTATCTGTTTCTAGGGGTTTCTGTGCAGCAATGGATGACTTTAGAAATGAATTTAAAGTTCCTCCCTTTCACGATTGCGTTTTAAGTTTCTTGGGATTTTCAGAGGAAGATAAAACTAACATGGAAGAGATGACTGAAATGCAAGGTAAAACTTAAGTCTTATTTAAAAGTTATATATTGGGCCACATTGTAGGTCTGCTTAATCGTTTCCTAGAGATATGCTTCTTAATGAAAATTTGAAGTTTGGAGATGAGTAGTTTGGTGTGCTTATGCTTGCGTGTATTCCTCTATAGGAGGTAAATATTTACCAGTTGGAGATGAAAGATGTACTCACCTTATTGTTGAAGAGAATATAGTAAAGGAACTTCCATTTGAACCTTCAAAGAAGCTTTATGTTGTCAAGCAAGAGGCAAGTAATTACACAATGAAATTGGGTTGAAAAATTATTTATTTGACTGGCAAAGAGACTAATAGAAGTCTCTTTCTGGCTGCTGGCTCCTTTTCCAAATGCTAGTGACAGCTGGAGCTAGTCGGGCCAAGGCCATGAGTCTGGAAAGCAGTTTAGGTTTCCCGTGTTGGTGACTGGGACTCAGCGGCTTGAGCCATCACTCCGTGAGACCTCCCAGGTTATTAGCAGGGAGCTGGGATTTCAACAGAAGCGCTCCAGTATGGGATGTGGGTTTCCAGTGCAGTGTTGTAACCATTGTGCCTAATGCCCATTCCTAAGCAATTTTTTTTTTTTAACATTAATAATAGCATGTCTGGTAAGGTACAAATTCTTAATTCAAGTGTTTTTTTCTCTTACATAGTGGTTTTGGGGAAGCATTCAGATGGATGCGCGAGCTGGGGAAACTATGTATTTGTATGAAAAGGTATGTGTTCTGTCCCTTAGTCATTTTCCTCATTGCTTCTTACAAGGTTTGGAGAACATGCTATAATGTACATACATGTTGTCTCAATTGATTCTCAAAATAGTATTCTTGCTCTGTGGATTTAAGTAGAAGTACTCAAAATAGTGGATATTATACTAATATGTATCACTTGCTAATTCTTGGTGATACGAAAATTAGCATCTTGAGAAACTTGGAACCTAAAGGGAAAGATAGACTTTCAAATAGTTATATTTGAAAAATAGTGTACTCAACAATAGAATAAAGTATTCTAAGTAACCTGACTCTTTTCGTACTTAGGATGAAACTAATGTTGGATCAATTTATTAAGCTGAGATGGAGGAGAGCATGAAGACTTTAGAGTATGTTAAAATAGCATCAACAGATAAGCTCAATAGGCAGAGTCAAGGAGGGTTTTTTTTTTTTAATATTCTAAAAATGTTTGACTTTAAGGATTAGGAACCACTGGAGAATGTTAAGAGATGTCACTAAAAAGATGTCAATAGTAGAGTAGGCAGGGAACACCCAGCTTTTTTGTTGGCTCTCGGAAAGGTAATGCCTTTCATTAAAATGGCAGTAAGAGAAAGCTTATTTGAGATTTAATGAAGCAGTAATGAGTAAAATGTTGTAGGTGAAGCATAGGTTTATTTCTCTATAACCTTATTGTGTTTTCCTTATGGTCTTTATCCTCAATGTGAAGTTTAGGTTTTAAAGCTGTATTTTAGATTAGGGAGAGAACCAATAAAGTCCAGTGTTATTCAGGAAATATTGCAGGGTATCATGTCCAGTCATTGTACTAAGTGGTAAAGTTACAGTGCACAAAATATGAGTGGTCCCTGCCTTTGTGGAGTCTATGTCCAGATGGAGGAGTAGATAGCAAATAAAAAGGCAAACTAATAGATGAGTGTGTAAAAGTAATAGTTGAAGGAAAAATGGATCATAGAAGTTGGACCATTGCAGTGATCTTTTGAGGCTTCAAATTTTCTTGACAGAATGGCTAGTTGTACAAAATTCAGACTTTGTTAAGACTCAAATATATTTTCCTCTTGTTTTATCTCAGTAAGGAATCCTGGAAGGAACATTGAGCTTTTGTGCTTCTGATTGCAGGCTAGCACTCCTGAGCTCAAGAAATCCGTGTCACTGCTTTCTCTCAGTACCCCAAACAGCAACCGCAAAAGACGGCGTCTGAAGGAGTCGCTGGCTCAGCTTAACAGAGAGACGGATTTGTCACCTTTCCCGCCCCGTAAACGGCCATCGGCTGAACATTCCCTTTCTATAGGGTCACTCCTGGATATCTCCAATACACCAGACTCCAGCATTAACTATGGAGGTAATGTATATTTTAAAATCTGTCTGTACAACTCAGTGGGATGGAAGAGTTGTTAAAACAGAGAATCGCTAATTCGTTTAATATGAATGACTGTGCTTTGGGTTACTTTTGGTCTAAAGCAGAGCACACTTGAAAAGATAAGCATAATAATATTTTTGTTTGATGATTGCTTGTTTAGTATATATACCAAGTGCTTTATATATTTTGTGTATTTATAGTAGGTTTTATTATTCCTATGTTTTAAAAGATTTATTTTTGTTGGAAAGTCAGATATACAGAGAGGAGCAAAGACAGAGAGGGCGATCTTCCATCTGCTGATTCATTCCTCAAGTGGCTGCAGTGACTGGAGCTGATCCAAAATTGGGAGCCAGGAGCCAGATCTTCCATGCAGGTGCAGGGTTCCAAAGCTTCGGGCCATCCTTGATTGCTTTCCCAGGCCACAGGCAGTGAGCTGGATGGGAAGAGCGGTGGCTGGGATACGAACCGGAGTCCAAATGGGATCCTGGTGCATTGTAAGGCAAGGACCTTAGCCGCTAGGCTACTGTGCTGGGTTCTATTCCTATTTTTAATAGATGACTAAACTGAGGTATAGAGAAGTACTTTACTCAAGATTATACAGAGAGTTGAATTCTTTTCAAAAAGAAATTAGACACTCGCCAGAAAGAGTCACACAGATGTCACATGAATTCTAGAAAAATCAGAATGAAGTCAGAAGAGCATGAGCTTATTTGATGCTGGAAAGCTACAGCATCAGATTCTTTTTTGGGGTGTGGTGGGGAGTGGGTTCGCTGTTTCTGGAGGTACTGCAATACCAATTCTTCTCTTGATCATCAATGTTTTTTTATTCTTAGTTTACAAAGAAGGATTTTGTATTTTCTAAGTATAAGAAACAAAAAGTTGAAATCCTCCTTCCAAGACACTTTATTATCTCATTGTTCATTTCCATTTCACATTTAATATTCTTTTAAAAATTATCTGTATCCAATTGTTTTTGCCTGTCTTTTCAAACCATTCCAATTCAGTCACAGTTTATTTTACGTTAAAGTTGCTCTTGCTCAGTACAGGTTTTAAATTCCGTAGCATTCAACACATGAAAACTGTGACTGCATGGACACGATTTTATCTTGACTTTTGTTATTTATTTCTCATTCTCTTTTGCTTTAGCTTCCCTTTCCCATCCAAGTACTTGCACAGAGACATGGCTGTAGACATTAACTTTGCTCTCCAATTCTGAATGTTCTGGCTTCAGCTCAGTCATATATTTTTAAATTGTATTCTCCCTAAATGATCATTTCTGTGCTGATGAACGTCACATTTGTCTTCTTGCCTGCCCACTTGTCTACTGGATATCTCATTGGTCATGTTTGATAGACATCCTGAACTTACTAAATGAATACTCAACTTCTCTCTACTCCTTCCAGCTGCTTCTTGGCGCCCTTTTATTGGTCTTTTCTATAAAAAGGAGGTCTCATGATTGCAGTTAGTTTTTAGTGGATTCTAAATTTACTTTAACCTCTTCTATATGCAGTACTTAAAGGTTTAGAAATCAGGTCATGCCACTACTCAGGTTTGAAGTCGTTCATTAGCCTTGTATTGCTGCAGTGGTAAATCTGTGTGTAGTCCTGCTCTCATGGTCGCACAAAGCCTACGTAGTGTGATGTTCCTCTGATTCTGCTCTCTCAAGCTTCGCTCATCTGTGATGTGTCCGTACCTGAGGACCTTTACACTTATCCTCTCTGCCTCAAGGTTTCTTATGGGATTCTCTGTAAAGTGAAGTCTTGCTCCATCACTGCTTCCTGCCAGGCCCATTACCTTCCTTGTGGTTGTCTTCAGTGTAATATCACTCAGTCTTGCCTATCTTATTTTCAAATCCTTGTGTAGAGTAGGTACTCGTATATACACATATTAAGTGGAAGGAATTCAAAGAATTTAAGTTTGGTCTAGAAAATAAGACAAGATAGATAGTAACATACAAATTGAGTGTTTGAGGAGTAATGGATAGGTCAATTACCTTGAAGTGTAGGGTTAATAGTTACAGAGGTTAGATGGAACCTGCTCTTTAGATTCCTTTGAAATCAAATGGTGTGTCTGAACTATGGACTATCTTCTACAAGGAATTCTAGAATCTCTGAACCAGCAGAGCAATTGTAATTGATGGTGGAGTGTCTTGAATGTAGAGGAAAGATGATTTGAAGGCAGACTTTGAAGTAGTCTGTTGTGTCTCTTGGAACAAGAGATGAGTCAGTGGTTTGAAAGAAGTAGGAAGCACTAGGAAAATATTGAATGGGGTATTAGGTTAACAAGATGTAAACAAAGTATTTATTGCCATGAAAGATACTTTGCTGTAAATAGGAAGTTTATATTTTGGGAGGCATATAGAAAATAGCAGTTTTACGCAAATCCAGGTTACATGAAAGTAGATTTAACTACCCAGCAGACATTAGGAAAGATTGAACCAAGTGTTTGCAAGGAACATATTTTTTTTTTTCCTAAAAATTGTTTAGATTTATAGAGAGGAGCTGAGACAGAAATAGCTTGCATTTGCTGGCTCACTCCCAATGTGGTCTCAGTGGCTGGAGCTGAGTTAATCTGAAGCCGGGAGTTAGGAACCTCCTCTGGGTTTCCCTTTGGGATGCAGGGTCAAGGCTTTGAGCCATCCTCGACTGCTTTTCCGGGCCAAAAGCAGGGAGCTGGAAGGGAAGTGGAGCAGCTGCGATACGAACTGGTGCCTATAGGGTATCCCAGTGCATGCAAGGCAAGGACTTGAATCACTAGGCTACCATGCTGGGCCCACAAGGGGTATCATTGTTAGATCATGCACATCTGAGACACTACAGGTCCTATAATCTAAATGACAGAGGATTTGGGGGTGGTAAGAGGTAATCAGAGGGACTGCAGCTTGAGTTTGTCCTTTAGGAGAGAGCAGTAGGAAATATAACCTTAAAACAGACATGGCAGCAGTAGTAGTCTTCTTAGGTACTCTCAAATAAGCTCTAATTTGTAGGCTGCTGCCTAGGTGCGGTATTATCATTAAGCTAGCCTACTGTATCAGGTTTTCCCAGCTGCAGTAACCAATAGTGCCAGAGGCCTGTGGCTCTGCCTGTGTAGTCTTAATATGTTTGGCAAGTGAGAAGTTACTTTGATCTGTTATCTTTAGTAGGTATTCTAACTCCTGGGTAGACATGATTGTTTTTATTATGAAATTGTTGGAAGTTGTTTATCACTGAATAAACTTGATGTGTTGGTAGTTTGTTTTCATGACACACATTACCATTTTGTCCATTCATTCTTTTTCTATTGAAAAATTTTGATAGTAGAAGATTCCGTATATAATGTTGCAGTATTCTGATCATACCAAGAAATAGCATTTTAAGCTCTTCTGATGTATATTTAGACAAATTTTCTCTAATAATATATATATATGCACTATATATATATATGTATATGGTTAAAAACTGGTTGTTTTATATTAAGAATGATACTTTGTATTAACAAAGAATTTCCAAGTAATGTTAACTTTTGTTTTAAGAGGGGACTTCCGCACATACTAGTATATGTGAAAGTTTACGTCATTGTAATTGTGATTATAGCTTTTGCCTCCTTTTCTCTAAAAAAGCCTTTTTTTGTATCTTTCTCTTTTATTATTTTAGCTTTGCAAAATTTCCTATATCCTCTACTCAGATTCCCCAAATGAAAATAATTGCTTTAGCATTCATTCAGCCAACATTGCTCTTTTAGTATATATGCACGCAGTTTGTGTGCTTGTAGTATCGAGAGCAAGTTACAGAGATGATGTAAATACTTAAATATCTGCTTCTCAAAATAGAGGGACATTTTTTACATAAAATTCATTTCAATTATTATAAGGAAAAAATTAGCATTAATACTGTAAACTGCTCCGTAGACCAGATTTCTTCAGTTGTTTTGCTAATACTTTAATACCCATCCTTTTAGCAAAAAGTTTTTTTCTGATCTGAGATCTAATCCAGGATCACACATGGTTATGTTATCTATTTCCAGTCTTCTCTCATCTGGAACCCTTTTGTTGACTTTATGTAATGACCTTGACATCACGAAGGTTATAAGTAGCTTACTTAAAAGAATGTCAATTTGGAGTGATGTTTCTACCCTTATTTTTTTTTCTGGCCTTGAGTTATGAGGAAAGTTTATTTTAATGAACATCTCTGTGGTGGCGGTATGTCTAAAGAGCAGGCATTCTTTTCTCCCCGTTTTTTTCTGTTAGGCCTGTACAGTGTGTGTTACATGTATCTGGCTTTTGTTAAATCCTTCCTCCCTTTTCCCTTTCAGAAACACCGAAGTCTTGCACTAAATCATCCAAAAATTCCACTCCAGTTCCTTTAAAGCAGTCAGCCCGATGGCAGGTTGCAAAAGAGCTCTATCAGACTGAAAGTAATTATGTAAATATATTGGCGACAATTATTCAGGTAAGTGCGAGTTTAATTGTAAAATGATTTTTGTTCTAGTGTTTTTTTAGCACAATATGTGAGAAGTATTTCTTACAAGAAAAATATATACCCATGATTTGAATATAGATATTAAAGTATGACAAAAACCTGTTCGTAGGGAAATGGCATGACTATTATCTTTTAGTCTCCTAGAAATAACACTATTTTAATTTAAGATGTTAAGCAAAGAAAAGATGCTCAAAAGACCATCTTTTCATATGAGATTGGGGATTGGATTTGATATGGATTCTTTGTCAAAATACTGCATCTGGGGACTGGTATGGTGTACAGTGGATAAAACCCACTGAGTGTCGGCTACTAGGCTCCTATCCAGTCCTTGCGAATGCACTGGGACCATGACTGAAGTTACTGGGCCTCTGGCACTCTTGTGGGAGGCCTCGACGGAGTTCCTGCTCCCTGCTTTGTGTCGGCCTGGGCCTGGCTGCTGCAGGGCCTTTGGAGAGTGGACCAGCAAGTGGAAGATTATTTGCACTCACTCACTCTCACTCTGTGTATCAAACTGCCTTTAAGAGAAATTGAAATTTTAACAAAAGAAATACTGTGTTTGTATTTGGAAGTGATAACTGCATGAAAGCAGGTGTTCTGAAGTAAAAATAAAAAGCTGTAATGTACAGTATACATGTGAAAAATGTACAGACAAGAACATGGTTATATCCATGCTAGTCATATTTTTTTACTCACCACACATTAGATGTGAAGTGATTGATCAAAAATTGCTTACCGATATTAAATTGTACAATGAAGTGCCGGAGAACAGCTCCAGCTGAGTTTGGAATTCAAGGAAGGGTGTGTGGAGTCCGTGAGAAAAGAGAGGCAGACCGCGGTCGCTTGGTGCTCCTAATGGACAGGTCACGAAGCTGTCTTCTTTATTAACACAAAAATCATCACAAGCTTCTGCACAGACATGAAATTGTTCTATTTTTTACTTCATAACTAAATGGGCATGCACAGATACTTGAGTTATTTTTTACTTCATGCTTAAGCAGGTATTTTTTGTTTTTTTTTAAAGATTTATTTTATTTCTTGGAAAGTCAGATATACAGAGAGGAGGAGAGACAGAGAGGAAGATCTTCCGTCCGATGTTTCACTCCCCAAGTGAGCGCAACGGCTGATGCTATGCCAATTTGAAGCCAGGATCCAGGAGCCTCTTCCGGGTCTCCCACACGGGTGCAGGATCCCAAAGCTTTGGGCTGTTCTTGACTGTTTTCCCAGGCCACAGGCAGGGAGCTGGATGGGAAGTGGGGCTGCCGGGATTAGAACCGGCGCCCATATGGGATCCCGGCGCGTTCAAGGTGAGGACTTTAGCCACTAGCCCACTGCGCTGGGCCCAAAGCAGGTGTTGTTAAAGATAATTCTGCAAAAATATCGTAATCAGTTAACTTCAAAGCAAGCCATTATTCATTCTTCAGTAGTAGCCATTGGGCAACAGCTAAGACTTCAAGGCCAGGACACATGCTGTTACCTGTTAATCAGTGATACATTTCTATTTCTACAACTTATCACTTGATGGGAAAAATATGTCACAAGGGAAAAACACTCCTATTTCTGCAACTTAACTATCACTTAATGAGAAGGGCAAACAACAGTGCCTCAATAAGTTTCCGAATTTTTTAACAGGGTGGTTGAGTGTCCCAGCAGCTGTTGAGGTGGTTGGAGAGACCACCGGCAGGCCGTGCCATACAGCTGTAAGCCCCTCGCGGCCTTGCCAGCAGGGGGGCAGTTCTTTCTACACCTTTGTGTCATTCACGCCAGCTGCATGGCTCCCAGCGATGAAGTAATTTCTGAAGGGAGGAGGATACTGAAGAACATAGTAAGGAATAAACTGAGACCTAGGTTCTGAAAGACACAAGAGAATATTATCTTGGCATCTCTAGAAAGGAATTGTGTTCATTTTAGTTAAAGCTAACTTATTCCCCCACGTGGCTGGAACAACTGAAGCCAGGAGCCAGGAACTCCCTCGTGTTCGTTCACAGGGGTGACAGAAAATCAAGTGTTTGAGCCCTTGTCTACTGCCTCCCAGGTGCCTTAGGAGGGAGCTGACTTAGAAGCCAGGACTCGAGCTGACGTTTGGGTATACGGTGTGGGCAGCTGAGTGTCTGCTTAATCCTCTGAGTCAGGATGGCTGCTCCTTGCATTTACATTCTAACTGATCTTTATTTGAATTCTTGAGGTAACTTGTTAGGATCCAAGCTAATGGCCTTTGGTTTCCTATACCGTTGGTGATGTGCATGCAGAAGAAAGAAAGGGAAAGGGCTTTTCCTTGGTGGCTGTGAGGTTGTTCTTCACTGTTAATTTTTTTGTTTAGCGTAGTCAGGTTTTTATGAGGTTGTGTAATGTATTAAACTTGGGTCTGTTCTCCTTCGGGGGGAGTTGGTGAAGTTTTTATAGTCAGCCAAAATTTGGTTACTAGCAGAAAATCTCTTTAGCAAATACTGTTCGTGTACTTTAGTAGCATTTATTATCTAGAAAAGTAAATCCTTTCAGGCCATAGTAAAGCATACTGAAGCATTAGAATTCTATTTTGTATATGAGTCCAATTCACTAAAACTCCTGTTAAAAAAAACCTGTGAAATTATTAAACTAAAGACCTGTTTCATACATATTTATATATACTCATATAGATATGTATTTTAATTTGGAATTGCTTTTGGAATAATTTAAATTTTTTTATCTGAAAGACTTTTTATTTTCATGTTATTTGAAAGGAGAGAGAGAGAGAAAGAGATTGGTCTATCCATTTGTTCACTGCCCATATTGCCATAAGAGCCAGAACTGACTCACACGGAAGGAAGGATCCTGGCATTTGTTTTGTATCATTCAGAAGAAGGACCCAGTTTACTTGAGACATCACTTCGGCAGAAGCAGGAAGGTGGATTGGAAAGGGAATAACTGGAACTTGAATCAGGCACTCCAGTGTGGGATGTGGCTGTTTTAAGAGATGACTTAACTATTGTGCCAGAGAAAGGGAGGGAGAGCGAGAGAGAAAAATCTTCCCTTTATCGGTTCACTCCCTAAATGATTCTTAACCGTCAGGGCTTAGCCTGCAAGAGACCAAGAGTTGGTTTTATCCTGATATATCCCCTGTGGGTGACCATCCCTTGGACCTTTATCTGCTGCCATTCCAGGTCCATTAGCTGGATTGGCTCAGAAGTAGAGTAGGCAGGACTGGAACAGCTGCTTTAATACTGCATGCTAGCACTGAAAGTAGCAGTTTAACTAGCTATGCTATAACAGCCACTGCAGGATTTCTGTTTTGTTTGTTTGTTTAGTTTTTTTTTTTTTAAAGATTTATTTATTTTTATTACAAAGTCAGATATACAGAGAAGAGAGACAGAGAGGAAGATCTTCTGCCCTATGATTCACTCCCCAAGTGAGCGCAACAGCTGGAGCTGAGCCAATCCGAAGCAGGAGCCTGGAGCTTCTTCTGGGTCTCCCATGTGGGTGCATTGTCCCAAGGCTTAGGACTGTTCTTGACTGCTTTCCCAGGCCACAAGCAGGGAGCTGGATAGGAAGCGGGGCCACCAGGATTAGAATTGACGCCCGTATGGGATCTCAGCACATTCAAAGCGAGGACTTTAGCTACTAGGCCACCACACTGGGCCTTTTGTTTAAAGATTGATTTGTTTTATCAGAAAGTCAGTTTCACAGAGAGACAGAGAGGAAGATCTTCCACTGGTTCACTCCCCAAGTGGTTGCAATGACTGAAGCTGAGCCCATCTGAAACCGGGAGCCAGGAGCTTCTTCTGGGTCTCCCATGTAGGTACAGGGTCCCAAGGCTTAGGACACTCCTTGACTGCTTTATCAGGCCACTATCAGGGAGCTGGATGTGTAGTGGGGCTGCTGGGATACAAACTAGCACCCATATGTATTCCAGCACATGCAAGGCGAGGACCTTAGCTGCTAGGCTACCATGCCAGGTGCATGAGACTGGAACTTTTTAAAGACTTCTTGCATTTATTTGAAAGAGTGGAGGCAGACGGGTGATGAGTGGGGGAGAGAGAAGAGATGTCCTGCACTTGGTGATTCACTCCCTAGATGGCAGTGACTGGACCGGGCCAAAGCAGGAGTCATTTTCTCCATCCAGGTCCCCCAGCTGGGTGCAGCAGTTGCACCGCGTTGTGCTGGTTTCCCAGGTGCATTGGCGGGAAGCTGGGTCTGAAGTGGAGCAGTTGAACCACTGCCCATATGGAATGCTTATGTCTCAGCAGGTGGCTTAACCAGCTAACTATTCCACAAAGCTGGACCTGTAACATAATATTTTATGATGAGTTTATCTGTACACATGCATAGCTGTAAGTCATGAATCAATAGAAAATGTTATGAAGGAAAAGCTGTTTTTCTGTTTTTCATCTCACATCTTAGTATCTATATTTTATTCTTAGTCTACTTAAACTAATCTTTTATTTTGCCTTTAGTTATTTCAGGTTCCTTTGGAAGAGGAGGGACAGCGTGGTGGGCCTATCCTTGCCCCAGAAGAAATTAAGACAATTTTTGGTAGCATTCCAGATATCTTTGATGTACATACTAAGATAAAGGTAAATTTGTGTGTTAGGCTGGTAATGTAGTTCTTATTAGTTTTCAAGAGCTTGTCATTAAATTTTTTATTGAATGCCTTGTTTCCTCCTTTGAATCATTTATTTCTTTGTTCCTATTCATTGTTAATTTTTACTGTTTACCTCCTTGATTTCCATTAATCCTAAAAGTGAGGAATTAAGGCCTTGGGAAGTCTTATATAGTCATGTTGCTCCCGCTATTATTCTTGGTTTCCTGTTAGTGCTCATGGATTATATGTTGTTTCCCTTTGGTTTGATCGAAAATCTGTAGTAAAACTTTAAGGGGCCTGGAGGCCTTCAATTTATTTCTCTATGGGTAGATAAATGCTAAAGCCATATAAAATCATATTAATGTCCCTTTTACAATGATTTTCCTTTGATGAAATTTCTGTTGATTTTCAAATACCAGATTCTTCTAATTGGGGTCAAGTTTAGTTACACTTATAAATCTCCTGCCTAAAAAAATGTTGAACTGTGTTCTGCTTTTCCTGTGTGATAATTGAGCGTGACAGATGAGTATTCTCCTCAAAACAACCCATGTTAATATTTATTGCACATTACAGTAAAGGATCAATTTGAATTATTGAATGTTTTTAATAAGGAGATTTAATTGCTCTTGAGTTTAGTGCACATTATAAATAAATATAAAGGACCTATTATTAGTCAAAACACAGATTACCAAATGCTTGCATTTCAGTTTGTATTTTATCAAAACCTAGACCATACTTCTTTATCTTTAGAGCCAAAGAGAATTCTGAGGGAATTTTAGTTTGCTTACGAAGCTATAAAATTTCAGGCTAGATTATCCTTATTTCCTGTAAGGATTCTGAACACTTGAAGATGATACCTTCAGAATATCTTTGATTTATAAGAATCACTGGGAAGTTCAATAGAGTGGAATGTCAAGTAAATTTTCTTGTTAGTGTTCTGCCACCAACACATGGATCCATTTGTGTTTGTGTCATTTAATTAGTCGGTATGCAAGTTCCCACCTGAAAATACAAAGTATTATACTGTTTATGTGCACAGGATCATAGCCTTGATTCAGAAATTCATGTTCTCTTGACAGATTGGAGCTTTGTACCTTTCTGATTGTTGAGTTTACTCATATATAGCATAATTTTGTGAGATTCAATATTCATTAATTCTTAGCTGATATCAGACTTTAAAATCTGTGTGTTTTTAAAGCATAAAACCATTACATGCTATCAAACATTTGTAAAAATGAAAATAACAGGAAAAAAAAGAAACTAACTATACTTATATTTGTTTTATTCTTGTTTGTACATTTTCAAAAATATAGCCAGGCATCCATTAAATACTACTATATCTAATGAGCAGTAAGTTAATATATTTAGAGACGTGAAAATGCTACTCACAAAAATTACGTTAATTCTAAAGTCATTTAATAATACTGGTTTCAGGGTTTGAATTAAACCCCTAAATACTGGCCATGTATAGGTCTTCTTCACAGTTTGTGGAAAAGTTAAATTAAAAGGTAATGCACATTTTCAATGTGCAATTTGAAAAGCCCTCAGAGATATGTGTGTACACATGTTTATATATGTGTGTGTTTGGGCGCGTGTGCATGTGTTAGTCATTTTGTGGCCTGAAACATGAAACTAAGGAGAGTCAGAGCCTTGCTCTGAATCAGGCTTGATCTTGGGGACTGTTATAGGGGGCTTCTAACCAGGACATTGAAGGTTTCTCTGTATTAGCAATAAGGTTGTTTTACCCTCTGATTTTTTTCTTTTTCCATCAAATTGCACTTATAAGTTTTCATGAAGAGCTTTTACTTTGCAGTGACTCCTTGTCTGACTATTTGGCTGAAAGCTAGACTTTGCTGTGCCAATCTCAACTTTTGCCGCATATATTCCTCACATAATAATCATTTAGAACTTTTGACTTGAAGTGAAATATGTATGATTCCTCCTTTCACTGAAACACTTAGATTGTTTAACTGACATAATTTTAGTATTGTTATTTCAGAGAATAGAGAGGCTGAAAGAAAGGAAGAATGAGGGGATAGGAAGTGACAGGTCAGTAGAGCAGTTGAAAAACACACCTATTTCTTGATTAAAGCATGCCATCTTATGAGTGTCATTTGTGGTGCCTCATAACAGAGACAATATTTACATCACAGATCATGATCATGGGCCGCCACAATAGATAGCAATAATAAAAAAGCGTGAGAATTGCCAAAATGTGACACTGAGATGTACAATGATGACATGCTTTCAGAGAAATGGCACCTGTAGACTTGCTTGACACAAACCTTCCATTTTAGACAATGCAATCAGATGAAGTAAGCTGTGTAGTCTTCCTTCCTGCTGCCTCCTATTCTTTCAAGTGCAGTTTTGATTGGGTGAATCTTCCCAATTTTTGACTTCTGGGCTGTTAATATATTCTTACTCTCTCTGAGTTCCCTCTTTTTTTTTTAAAGAGTTATTTGTTTATTTGAAAGGCAATATTAAAGAGAGAGAAGAAATAAAGACAGATCTTCTATTCATGTCTTTTTTTTTTTCACTCCCCAAATGGCTGCAATGGGCTGGAGTAGGGTCAGCCAGCAGCTTCCTCTAGGTCTCCCACATGGATGCAGAGTCCCATGCACTTGGGCCTTCTTCCACTGCTTTCCCAGGTGCATTGGCACAGTGCTGTTTTGGCAGTGGAGCAGCTGAGACACAAACCAGTGCTCATATGGGATGGTGGTGTTACAGGCAGTGGCTCAGCAAGCCATACCAGTACTCTGGCCTCTGAGGTCACTGTCATGCTATCAAAAATAGTTTTGTTCCTTTTTTTGAAAAATTTTCTCCATTTTATGTACAGGGCAGTAGAGCTTAAACTCGGCATTCATTTTCATTTTTAAAATTGAAGAACTTTTGTTTATATGGGTTTCATTTGTTGGTATTAGTAGGTGAAAATGAAAACATAGTATTTTTGAGATATACAAATTTTTTTCAATAGCTTAATTGAGGTAGTTTGTCTTTTTTTTTTTTTTCCCAAAGATTCATCTTACTTACTTAAAAGTCCAAACTTCGAGAGAGATTGAATTTTCACCCTGTGGTTCACTCCTCACGTTACCACAGCACTGATAGCTGGCCAGGCTGAATCCATTACCCACCAACTTCTAGGTCTCCCGCGTTGGTGGCAGGAGCCCTCGCAGGTGCATTAGCCATGAGCTGAATTAGAAGTGGAGCAGGGAGAGCAGCATTGTAGGATGCTTGCTGGGCTGTGCATGCCATGCCAGAGTGCTAGCCCCTTGATGTCTTCACTGAATATATGTTTGAGTTACTTTAGTAGCTTTTCCCAGTAATATAATCATCACCACAAATCTATCTTAGAAAATTTCCACTCTCTATTCCTTTAAGATTCCTTGTACCAGCAGCAGGTTTAAAAGCAGGTTTAAAGCAGCAGGTTTAAAGGCTATAATTAATAGTAGTAAATCAAATTTTAGAGTTAATAAGATACTGAGTTACCATAATATATTGAGAAATTAGGTCTCTTCTTACTGATTTAACTATATTGATAATTTTTTTTTAAGATTTATTTATTTTTCTTGCAAAGTCAGATTTACAGATAGAAGGAGACAGAGAAAGATCTCACTTCCCAAGTGGCCTCAATGGCTGGAGGTGAGCCAGTCTGAAGCTAGGACCCAGTAGCTTCCTCCAGGTCTCCTACTAGGCTATCATGCAGGGCCCTTCTTGATTACTTTTTAAAGGATATTTTCTTGGTTGTCAAAAAGTTAATTCCAGGCCTGGAGCGGTAGGCTAATGGCTAAAGTCATTGCTCTGCTTGTGCCGGGATCCAATATGGGCACAGTTTCTGTATCCCAGATGCTCTACTTCCCATCTAGCTCCCTGCTTGTGGTCTGGGAAAGTAGTAGAGGATGACCTATAGCCTTGGGACCCTGCACCTGTGTGGGAGATCTGGGGAGGATCTTCCTGGCGGCTTAGCTCTGGCCATTGTTGCCACTTACGGAGTGAACCAGTGGATGGAAGATCTTTCTGTCTCTACCTTTCTATAAGTCTGACTTTCCAATTAAAAAACTAAATAGTCTTAAAAAAGTTAATTCCTTGTTGAGGAAAAAGAATGGGAGAGTAATTATTTAGCCTGTCAAATTAAGATAGTTAGCAAGTTCTCTTTTTCATTCACTCAGAAATATTAAAAGGTGTATGTAGAGCTGTCGAGTTTAGTCTTTAATGTTTTGCTGTAATGTTCTATTTCCAGGATGATCTTGAAGACCTTATTGTTAATTGGGATGAGAGCAAAAGCATTGGTGACATCTTTCTTAAATATGTGCGTATCTTATTTAAATTTTTGGGTTAAAATATCTTGTCAAAGACTGGCAGGGAAGTTTTATAACTTGACATGAATATATTTACACAATATATTAGAAATTTCCTTGTTTTTTTTTTTTTTTTTTGAAATATTTTTTTCTACACACAACTTGGCCTTGGGATAGACCAGGAGAATTAGTAGAAGAACAATAAATGTTGTACTGTGTTGTGATTGCTTTACTGTGTGGCTACAAGGTTATGATTTTTTAAGCTTGCTTTAATTTTTTATTTCCCCCCCCTTTTTTTTTTTTTAGCTGATATCACTTTTTGCTTTGTTTCTGTTTAAAGTTGTCTAATGAATTCTTCCTTTACTAAGAAAATAATCTGCTTAAGTTTATAAGTAGCTATTTTGGTGAGGTGCTATGAATGAGTTTTACCGTATGCTTCTCTAACTCTTTAAGTGGATTTGTAAGACCCAGTGCTTTGAGCACTGGCATATGTAATCTTCAGCAGTCTCTTCTCAACTTTCTTTCTTCCCGTAAAGGTCTTAGATATTTTTTCCGGTTGGTTGAAAATTTCAAATGTGCCAAGTATCACACATACCTTTTTGATGTCTAGAATTAGCAAAGACATTTTCCCTTTTCTTGTTTGCATTTTTCGGAATAAAACTGATCTTATCAGTTATTTTGATTCTTTCATAAATAAATAATAGTATGCTCTAGCTCCAGATTTGTTTGTTGTAGCTTAATGTTTTCTGAGCTTGTAGAAGTTTTGAAATTCTGTTTGCCATGTTTGTATCAACACTGAACGATTTAATTTACTTTCCCTTTCTGAATCTTTGTTTCCTCTTTTCAGAAATAAAGCCCAACAAAACCAACTTAAATTTTTTGAGATTTGAGTGAGAGTGTTCCCATCTACTGGTTGACTCCCGAAATATGCTTGACCGTTGGCACTGGTCTGAGGCTGAGCTGGGAGCCAGCAACCCAGTTTGTGTTTTATCACTTGGGTGGCAGGAAACCAGATCTTGAGCCATTACTGCTGCTCAAGAAGTAGGAAGCTGGAGTCAGAAACTAGAGGCAGGTAGCAAAAACTGTTCTGATGGGTATGAGCTGCAGCCGTCTTAACCACAAAGCTAAACAGTTGCCCCTTTGTTTACTTTTTTAAAAATTCATTTATTTTACTTGAAAGTCAGAATTACAAAGAGAGAGCAGAGATCTTCATCTGTGGTTCACTTTCCAAATTGCTGCTAGTGCCAGAACTGGACTAGCGTGAAACCAGGAGCCAGGAGCTTCTAACAGGTCTCTCATGTAACAGGTCTCTCATGTGACTGCAGGGTCCCCAAGGACTTGGGCCATTCTTTACTTCCTTCCAAATTCGTCAGCAGGGGTGTAGATCAGAAGTGGAGCAGCCAGAACTCCAATGAGCCCCTTGTGGGATGCTGGCACTGGAGGCAGAGGAGTAGCCTATCATGCCCTCCCAGCCCCCCACTTTGTTTGCTTTCAAGCTTTAACCTGTGTGTACCAATTGACACTTTTCTGTTTGGCAGTTAACTTTCTTTGGTAAGAATGTATGATGTGAATGTCTATATGGTGATCAAAACATGTAAACTGTGGGATTTTTTCTGCCTACAGTATGTGTATGTTGATTGTCTTTCCATTGTCTGAGGGTAATGTGCATATAACAAGTTGATATTTTTTTTTCCTGTTTCTTCTTCCTAGTCAAAAGATTTGATAAAAACCTACCCTCCCTTTGTAAACTTCTTTGAAATGAGCAAGGAAACAATTATTAAATGTGAAAAACAGAAGCCAAGGTTTCATGCTTTTCTCAAGGTAATAAATAAGTGTTTCTCTCAAACAAAATTAGGATTAATTCTGAAGGAATTCATTGATAACAAAAAAGTGAATTATAACTTTCATAAAGCTGTGTCAGTGGAAGAATATATCAGTATCTGTTCATTTTAGTTGTAATTGTGGGTGGCAAATTTTATCTTTTGAAGACTTAAGGTAGCTGAGTAAATGAGATTGTCCTTTGTTAGCTGAGGTGTTTTTGCGAGCCTGAAATATCCATATGTTCTCTATTGAGACATTAATGATAAGATAATAATCTCATAAAGGTAGACCGTCTAATCTTTGCAGAAAATATCTTAATTGTTGGATGAATCAATTCCTTTCAGATAAATCAAGCCAAACCAGAATGTGGACGGCAAAGCCTTGTTGAACTTCTCATCCGACCGGTGCAGAGATTACCCAGCGTTGCATTGCTTTTAAATGGTACTTGTCTGATCTATTGTGTTACTCTTCTACATATCTATGGGAAATTTTTCTTTAAAAAAAAAGTTAATATTATTTTCAGTGTTTCTAGATTTTTATCATTTAGTATCATTCAATATATATTTTTAAAAGATTTATTTGTTTTTATTTGAAAGGCAGATTTATAGAGAGGAGAACCAGAGGAAGATCTTCAGTTCATTGGTTCACTCTTCAAAGGGCCACAATGGCTGGAGCTAAGTCGATCCAAAGCTGGGCATCGGGAGCTTTTTTGAGGTCTCCTATGTGGGCCGCCCTCCATTGCTTTCCCAGGCCTAATCAGGGAGCTGGATGGAAAGTGCAGCAGCCAGGACATGAACCAGCTGTCATACAAGAAGCTGGTGCTTAAAGGTGGAGGATTAGCCTCTTCAGCCATTGGGGCCAGCCCCCTCAAAATAATCAGGTTCTAAAACACTTTAGTGTGGCCTGAAATACTTTCTTCTGATAAGCAATGTCCTTTTTTTTTTTTTAATATTTAAAAAATTTAAGTTTGAAAGTCAGAGAGGGGGAGATAAGGAGAGAAAAATCTGCTGGTTGACTTTCCGGCAGTGGGTCAGGTCATTGCTAAGAGGCAGGAACTCCATCTGGACCTCTCAGTTGTGTGGCAGGGGCCCATACACCTTAGTTGTTTTCTCCCGCTTTTCCTGGATTACTAGCAGGTAGCTGGATGGGAGGTGGAGCAGCTGTAGCACAGACTGCATCTGTGTAGTATGCTGGCATCTCAGGTGCCAAATGCCAGGCTGGGTATTTGACTTTTTGTATTTCAACATTTAGATGTCTGCTTATATTTCGTAATATGTCACTAATACAAACAATTTACATCTAAGTAAACACAAAATTCATCCACAAGAATCATAACGAGAGAGATGATTCACGTATCCAAGCGTTTTTGGTCTTGTCCTGAATTTTAGTAAAGTTTTGTATATGTGGCATTATACTTACTTTTTTTTAAACTTCAGATTATTTAGCATACTCTCAAACATCTGTTTTTTCAAGAAGGTAAAGCACAGATATCAGTCAGTGGATGGGAGTTATATAGCAAAATTTTGTTTGTTTGTTTACAACTCATTTGTTTGAGTCAGTTACAGAAAAAAGAGGGAGAAACAGGGATATCTATTTGGTTCTCCCCCCTGCCAGATAGACACAATGACTATGGTTGAGCTGGGTCTCAGCAAGCAGCTTTTGATTCACCCACATGGATATGGGGGCCCAAGTTCTTGGACCATCTCCTTCTCTTTTCCCAGGCCATTAGCAGAGAGCTAGATTGAGAGCAGAATTTAAACTGGGGCCCACAGGGAATGCTGGCATCGCAGGCCACAGCTTTTCCTGCTGTACCACGATGCCAGCCCTCTGTTGACTGGTTTACTCTGAAAATAACTGCAACTGGGATTGAGCCAGGAGCCGCAAATTGTATCCAGCTCTCCCATGTGCATATCAAAGACTCAAGGACTTGCACCCTCATCTACTGTTTTCCTGTGTGGATTAACAGGGAGCTGGATCAGAAGTGGAGCAACCAGGAAGTAAACTGGGAATCCAGTATGGGATGCGAGTATTGTAACTGATGGCTTAACTTGTTGAGCCTCTGCAGTGTTTTTAAGAAGAACTTTTGCCTGTGTTAAAATAAAATTAAAGAAAAACATCATATTCCTTTCTAAAGTAGTATAAGAATGTCAGTTTTTGTTGTAAAAGTATATTTTTAATTTATTTAAAAGGTACTGTTACAGAAAGAAAAGGTGAGAGAGAAGGAAGGGGAGAGATCTTGTTGCAGCAGCTGTGCCAAGCTCATGTCAGGAGCCTGCAGCTTCTTCCATGTCTCCCAGATTGGTGCAGGGGCCCTAGCAATTGAGCTGTTTGCTGCTGCTTTTTCAGTCATTAGCAGGGAGTCAAATAGGAGGTGGAACAGCTGGGTCTTTGACTGGTGTCCACATGGGGGTGGTGGTGATACAGGTGCAAGGTAAATTATAAACAAACCTGCAGTGAAGAATTTTGTTTTTTAGCTTGACCATAGTAATATGTGCAGTAGACAAGAATCTGTGAACAATTAAACTAAGACTGAATTTTGCCAATTTGTATGTCACAGTATTTCGTTTTGTACTTGTAGAAATCCCATGTTGTTGTGACTAAATGCGCTTGCTTTCTAACCTGTTCTCTCTCTCTCTTTTTTTTTTTTTTAGTATCCCATATCAAAGTTATGTAGACATGGTACTAGACTGAGCAAGCATTGGATTTAATGCCTAAACCTGATTTAAGCAACCTGGATAAAAAAGTCACTGTATGAAATACGAACCTCTAAAATAATAGCAAAACCTGCAGTGAAAGACAAAATACAGTTAGTGATGGGCCCGGCACAGTGGCGCAAGTGGTTAAGTCCTCGCCTTGCACGCCCGGGATCCCATATGGGCGCCGGTTCTATCCTGGCAGCCCCACTTCCCATCCAGCTCCCTGCCTGTGGCCTGGGAAAGCAGTCAAGGATGGCCCAAGGCTTTGGGACCCTGCACGTGCGTGGGAGACCTGGAAGAGGCTCCTGGCTTCGGGTCGGCATTGAATCGGCCGTTTGGCTCACTTGGGGAGTGAATCATTGGACGGAAGATCTTCCTCTCTGTCTCTCCTCTCTGTATATCTGCCTTTCCAATAAAAAAATAATAAAAAAAATTAAAAAAAAAATACAGTTAGTGTTCCAGGATAAAATATAAAACAATAGTGATTTATGAGCTAATTGAGGTTCATGTTTTTTTCATACAGCATTATGGAAAGAGCTGGAAGAATCTAGGAGTTGTGTTACTGGAAAGAATTGAGATAGTTATGTAACAAAATGTATTGACTTTGAAAACTTAGTAAAGTAGGGAATTCTTGATGTGTCAGAAACTCAGGGAACATTGCTTAAAACTTTGATTTTTCAGATATTTATGTTTTGAAAGAGGAAGTGAGGGAGAGACAGAGGTCTTCCATCCGCTCGTTCATTTCCCAGATGGCCTCAACAGTTGGAGCAGGGTCAAGCAAAAGCCAGGAACTGAGAGCTTCATCTAGGTCTCCCATATCGGTGCAGGGCCAAGCACGTGGGCCTTCTTCCACTGCTTTCCCAGGCATGTTAGCAGGGAGCTGGATTTGAAATGGAACAGCCTGGACTTGAACCAGTATCAGTAGGCAGTGCTGCTGCTGTGTGTGGCAGCTTAACCAGCTTCCCCTACTTAAAACATTTAAGGTAAAAATTAGATGTTGTTTCTAAAAATCATATGGGACTGGCACTGGGGTAGCTGAAAGCTCCTACCTGGATGCCACCGTCCTGTGTGAATGTGGCCGTTTAAAGAGTGAATTGAATTAGTGGAAGGAAGTTTTAAAAAAAAATCAACTTGAATCAAGGGCAACAAATGTATGTCTTAGATGGCAAATCATTGAATTTGTTTTAATCATAGAAAAAAACGTTATTACAGATCTTAAAAAGCATACAGTTGATGAAAACCCTGACAAAAGCACTTTAGAAAAAGCTATTGGATCACTGAAGGAAGTAATGACGTAAGTGTATTATCTTGATTTTTTTTTTTCTTTGTTCCTTAGGTTGTCTTTCACTTTAACATTTTTTATTGCTAAAATTTTATGTTATTAGATTGCCAAGATTGGTTGGAAATGTGTTAATGAAACTGATTTGGGGAATGGGATCAATAACATTTTCGTTGCTTGGTATAGGTCTAATTTGGGGGAGATACAGCTTTGATCTGAAATAATCTGTTCTGATTATTGTCATCAGAGTAGACAACTGTTGCCCTGAACATTCTTGCTTCAGGGAAGGTACTTTCACGAGTTTACTCTATGGACTTTGAGTGCATTTATAGAATAAAGGATTCTTGAGATTCCACGTGGAGCTTCTATATATAATTGTTTCTCAGAGTATTCACAAAGGACCTATAGAAGAACAGTACCAGCTCCAAAGAGGATTCAGACTCAGCAAAACATAACCCGCCTAGGCTTCTGTTAGGCTCTCTCTTTGTCCCTCCCCATGCTTTCGCTCTTTCCTTTCTCCTCTTTCTGCTTCCTCTACCTTTCTCTCTCCTCACCCTTCATTTTTTTCCCCCCTGTTTTTATTTGTATTCATATTTTGCATCTTTATCAGCCAGCCTTCATTCATATTTTTGTTTATTGGGACCAAATTAGTACTTCTGAAGCTATGGTAATAATTTTCTGTATATTTTCAACACTGGTTAAAATACTGTGCCACACATTTTTTTACCTTGCTCCTTTCAACAGCTGTTTACATGGTCCATAAGAGGAAAGGAGTGAGGTTGTTACATGCCATGCTTGCCTTTTTCAGGTTTAGAATAAAAAGTAGCTTATATTATTTTTTTGATTTATGTATGTAATTTAATATATGTAAGTATAGATCGTAAAGTGACCTTGATAGTAAACAGAATAGTAGTTTGACAAGCTGTGTCTGTTGGAATAGTGTCAAGCTAGCTCCTGCAGAGATCATAAGCTGATTCAATAAAGCAAATGATTAAAGACTTCTTTTTTGTTTCAATGTTATTTTAACTTGCTGACAACTTAAGAATATTTTTAATATATTCCTCCCTAAGAGCCATGCTCATAGAATTTAAATAAATGTTGAATTATAAGGGAATGAGATTTTAATGTTCAGTTGTGATGCTGATTTATAAACCTTACAGAATCTGAGTAGGTCTATATTCTTGATGTCTTTGACATTTAGCATAAAGATTAAATGTATATTATGGTGATTGAAACAGCTGTGCATATCCAGTAAAAGAGATAATGAGACGTCATCACTTCACCAGACTTTGTCATTTATGGAATCTGCCCCCTTCCTGCAAGCTTAAAAACCTTAAATGGTGCTATAAAAACATAGATATTAACTTGCTATAGGTACAAATTTTTAGTAACTTAAGAATAGTATTTTTCTTAAGGAAATTACATATGTTTATATGTTTGACGTGTGGCTTAAGTTTGGCATACATACAAGTATATACATATATATGTATAATATCTATTTCTCTTGCATTTCAGTCAATTTTTACTTTATGCATTTTGGGTTAAATATGTATATTCTGGTAAATGTTACAGTTTCCTGAGGGAGTGATGTTTTCATCTTTATGTCTAGTAACAATGTTTGTCTTAAAGCCCAGTTTGATCTTACATACTTGTAGTCACTTAAGTTTCTGTTCTGTTTCCTGTTTGAAGGATGTTTCTTTCCATCTTTTTTTTTCCCTAAGTTTCCTTTATTTTATGTGAGAGTCAGAATTATAGAGACAGAAAGGGAGAGATGTTTCACTGCTCCAGCATGTCACTGCTCAAATGGCTGCTACTGCCAGAGCTGGGCTGACTCGAAACCAGGAGCTAGGAACTTCCTCCAGGTCTCCCAGTGGATGCAGGGGACCAAGAACTTGAGCCATTCTTTGCTGCTTTCCTGATCTGTTAGCACGGGGCTAGATTGGAAATAGAGCAGCCAAAACTTGAACCAGTGTCCATATTGGATGCCAGCATCACAGGTAGATGGTTAGTGTGCTATGCCAGCATGCCAGTCCTTTGTTCCATTTTTTATTTCAACATATTTCAACAGAGAAGAGACAGAGAAAAATCTTCTATCTGTGGCTAAGCCAATTCGAAGCTAGGACCCAGGAGCTTCTTCTGGGTCTCCCATGTGGGTACAGGGTCCCAAGGCTTTTGGGTGATCTTACACTGCGTTCCCAGGCCACAAGCAGAGAGGTGGAAGGGGAGCAGCTGGGTCACGAACTGGCACCCAGATGGCATCTCAGCACATGGAAAGCGAGGATCTTGCCACTAGGCTACTGCACCAGTCCCTTAGTTCAAGATTTTTGTTTAAGGAGAAACTTTCTCTAAGCTGTAAACAAGGATAATCACAGGAACTCGCATTTTCTCTTAGAGGGAACTGATATGTAATGTCTTGGAAACCCTAGTCTCTTCTTATTTTGATATTTTAATTGTTTCCGGTAGAAGGATAAATCCATCCCCTATTTTATTCCATTTTACCTGGAAGTAGTGTTGTTCTTTGTTTCAATGAACTAATTGGCATATGACTTAGGAGTAACTTGTAGAAAGTCTTAGTTAAATTTATATTTAAAATTCCAAAAATTTAAAAAAAGTGTGTGAAAGGCAGAGTGACAGAGATAGGTCTGCCATATGCTGAATTACTCCCAGCCCCAATTTCCCCAACAGCCATGGCTGGGCCAGTTGGAAGCCAGTAGCCATCCAGGTTTCCATGTGGGTAGCAGGAACCCATGAACTTGGGCCAGTATAGACTGCTTTGCAGTTGAAATAGAACGAGCTGACGTGAAGGAGGTATAGCATGCAAAGCTGCTGCCTGTGGTGCTGGCATCCCAGATGGACACTGGGTTGAGCTTTAGTTACTCCATTTCAATCCAGCTCCTAACTACTGTGCTTGGAAGAGTCGAAGGTGGACCAAGTCCTTCAGCTCCTGATTCTTGATCTTTCTCTTGCCCTCACCTCCTCCTCCTGCCCCAATCCTTTCTTTCAAATCAATGCAGAAATTTTAAATAAAAAATTTAAAAATGGAAGAATTGAAGGAGTAGGGACTTGATTTGAATTTTGTGATATTCAGGTGTCCCAAGTAGCAAATTACTTCTGTGTTATAGTGCCCTTCTGTGTTACAGTGCCAGATTTTGTTGGGTAATATCAAGTTTCTATGGGTTCGGTATATCTTAGAAGATATATAGTAAACATAAAATAATATGGATTAATATACGTATAGTTAGATGTGAGGTAGTAAAGCATGCTTTTCTGAAAAATTTTGTGAGTATTTTTTAAACTAGTACAATATTCTTAAGGTCTATTCTAATGATTCACCTGTCAGAATTAAGTTTTATACAACAGGACTTTTGAGATATACAGTGTGACATTTGTGATATACGATGTATTTTATATGGTTTTATGTTCCGTTTTGAAAATAACTATTTTTCAGGCATATTAATGAGGATAAAAGGAAAACAGAAGCTCAAAAGCAAATTTTTGATGTTGTTTATGAAGTAGATGGATGCCCAGTAAGTAATCTCTTGTTTTGGGTGTAATTAATGTATTTTCTGTTTCTTGTTGGTTTAATTTTTTGAGGCGCAGCTTAAGCATTGATGCCAAGTAATTTTCCTATTATTTTTCATCCGTGCAGGCCAATCTGTTATCTTCTCACCGAAGCTTGATCCAGAGAGTTGAAACAATTTCTCTAGGTGAGCACCCCTGTGACAGAGGAGAACAAGTCACTCTGTTCCTCTTCAATGACTGCCTGGAGGTAAAGCTGTACTTCATCTAGAATTATAGCAATGATGATTTGTATGGGTTCTCTGAATATTTCATACCAAATTTCAGTTGAAGTGTAGTTATAGGTAAGCTCATAGACATTTTTTAAAAACCTAACATGCAGTTGATTTAACACGATTTATGACTGCTTTCAAAAAGAAAAGGTCTAGTAAGAATGATCGTAGTCAACGTGGAAATTTATGTTCATGAAAATAATTGCGAGAATGCTTCAAACATTTCATGGAAAGATAGAAATAAATGTGTTTTTTATTTTGATGCAAAAACTTTCCAAATCCATGGATAGTGTTTTTATTCTTTTTAAAGATTTATTTATCTGAAAGCAAAGTTAGAGAGGGACAGGAAGATCTTTCTTCCATTGGCTGGCTCAGTCCCCAAATGGCCACAGGACCAAGGCTGGGTCAGATAGAAGGCAGGAGCCTGGTTCTGCATCCAGGTGTCCCAAGTGGGGAACAGGGCCCGAGGCACTTGGTCCATCTTTCACCATTTTCCTAGGACATTAGTAGGGAGCTGGGTTGGAAGTGGATCAGTGGGTATATCTGGTGCTCACATAAGATGGCAGCATCTCAGGTATTTCATCCCCATTGTGCCAAAATGCCATCCTATATTTTTTATCATAGGAACTTATGAAGATCCTTTGTATAAATTCCCCTTTCTACCTAAGTACTGTCCTCCCCTATCAAATAGTATTAATTATCTATCTATTTATTTATTTAATCGAAGGTCCCTTACTGGTTCTGCTTCTCCAGTGATGAGACCAGAGGACAGAGCTGGGGAGGGGGAGAACAGGCAGCAGGGGAGGGGTCCTCTCCACAACATTCCATTTATACACAGAACCAAACGGGCAAGCACAGAGTCACTACTGTGGTTAGAAGTTGGCAACAAGGGAAGGGACAGGAAGAGGTATCGTTAAAAAAAAAATACAGGATTGCCCCCACAAACTTGGGCACCTGGGGTGGCGTGGAGGGAGATTGGTGTATTCAACACAAAAGGAATCAGATCGAAAGTGGTTTTGGGGGGCCAGAGCCACCAGGCCTGGAGGGGGGAGGAGGAAGAGGGACTGCCCTCCCTCTGCTGTATTCCCCCCAGCCCCTTTGGTCTGGCAGGGGCTGCCTGCAACCCCAAGGGCAACCTGGGGAAGTAAATTAATTTGTAAGTATGAAATATAATTGAACCAGCAAAATTAGAGACATAGTAAAATTCGCTAAAGCTTCAGCTTGTTAAATGCAGAGTTTTGTTGTCATGAGTTAATAAAAAATATTTCCATTTGTCAGAAGTAGTACAAAGACGCACAAGAGTAGAAACAGTAACACTAACATACACAATGGACCATAGTTTAACGTGTGAAAGAAATAAAAATTTAGGAGACAGTTAACACTGAACTACCTTTCTATATTACCTCAATAAGAATTTTAGTTTGCCCTACTTCTGAGTACAGGGGTTAGTTGAAGGAATCAGTTTTTAATCATATGTGATCTGAATTTATACATAGTTTTTTGTACTTCTATTATTATGATGATTATTTTATAAGAGTTTATTTATTTGAAAGGCAGCATGCATAGGAAAAGGGAGAAGGAGACAGAGGCACTGATTGTCTCCCCAGACTGCTGCAGTAGCTAGGGCTGGCCAGGAGTCGGGATCTCACTCTGTCCAGGTCGTCAGATACTTGAGCCTTCATCTGGTGTTTTTCATACACATTAGGAGGTATCTGGAAGTGAAGAGGCTGGGATTTGAATCAGCTTTCTGATATGGAATGCCAGCATCTTTAGCAGTGAGTGGGTTGCACCACTACAGTGTCCACCCCCTCTATTGTGTGGCTTACTCCACCACAATGCCCACTGCAGTTGCCACCCCTATTTTATGTTCTTGAAAAACCTGTTGAAGTCCTTAGGTAAGCTGGTTCTGTTTATCCAAAAGGTTGTTATCTGTTCTTCCTTACCAATCCATTCTGGTTTTTATCCTTTGCTCCCAGTGGGATCCATGACTCAATTTCAATGTTTGACCTACATCTCCTCCAAATTTTTTAAAATCTTCTGTGGAAGGCTCATTGATTTCTCTGCTACTTTGATTCCTGTTGTTTTTTTGTCCTGTATAGCTTCCAAGTCCTTTAGATATTACTTTCTTTACTTTCTTATTCTACCTCTTGGCCTCCATGACTCAGAGTCGCCTCAGCAGAAATTCCCCTAATATTATGTTTGTACTTCCATCTGTTTGCCACAAAAGCTGGAGCTGAGCCAATTGGAGCCAGGAACTTCCTCCTTGAGGGTGCAGGTGCTCACGGACTTGAGCCATCCTGTGCTTTCCCAGCCCATAAGCAGGGAGTTTGATTGGAAGTGATGCCACTGGGACTTGAACCAGTGCCCACATGGGATGCCAATGGAGGCTTAGTCTACACCATGGCAGAAGCACTTCTTTTTTTTTTTTTTTTTCTTTTAATGTGAAAGGCAGGGTGACACAGAGAAAGAACAACAGTAGAGAGAAAGAAATGTACATCATATCTTAGGCTCCTGTTGTTTTGATTTGAAAGGCAGAGTGACAGAGGAGAAAGGAGAAGCAGAGAAATCTTTCATCCATGGCTCCACTCCCCACATGACCACAGAGGAGTTCCTGGCTTAGTACCACTTGTAGCATCTAGTGGGTGGAAGATCTCTCGCTTTCTCTCTAGGTTATTCTGTCTTTCAAATTTTTTATTTTGGGGCGGGGGGGGGAGGTGAAATGAAAGAAACTTGAAATTCAATTATTTTGCTTAGCCAAGTTAACTTGAAAATATTCAGATATTATCTCAAATCCTGTTACTCAATATTTCATTTTTTTCACCCTGTTTCTTACAATGTTTCTTACTTTTTTAAAACTACTGGAACCTTTTATCTTTTGGGTGGATTTTCTGACTTTTGAGCTCTTCACATGTGAGCGTCAGAATTTCTACAGCACAGTTGTATGTAAGATTTTGTCATGTAGTAGAGTTGTGATTCTTATGCGTAAGTTACTAATGACTGATTTTCACATGAGTTACATCTAGATTTATGTGCTTAGTGCTCCTTTAAAGTATTTGGTTCTTAATTATTTTTATTCATATAACTTATTATAACTTTCTGGAATTTTCTTTGATTAGATAGCAAGAAAGCGACACAAGGTTATTGGCACTTTTAGAAGTCCCCATGGCCATACCCGACCTCCAGCTTCTCTAAAGCATGTTCGTTTAATGCCTCTTTCTCAGATTAAGAAGGTGTTGGACATAAGAGAAACAGAAGGTATGCTCGTTGGATAAATTGGTAACTAAGTAAAAATAGTTTCTGTTTATTGTAGGTTGCAAGACTGCTTAAATTACCTATATTTCTTTGGATTTTAGTCATGGACATGTTCCTTATTCAGGCATGATTCAATTGTAAGCATCCTGATCACAAAAAATTAATTATTTAGCCATTTTATTTCTCTAATAGGTTGAGCCATTGAAATTTTCTGATATTGCCATTGGTCTGTTTTCTTAAATTTCAGCAGAAAAAAATATTAAATGGCATAGAAAATTTTGCTTAATTTACATATCATAGAAATGTTGTTTTTATTATTGATTCTTACTTGGTACCCTCTTTTTATTACAATTCTTTCCAGTGTTTTAATATAATAACTTATTGCTGATCTTTAAAAAACAAAGAGACAGATCAGAGAAGATTATTATCATTGGGATTTCGATGCGCTGAGGGAATGAAATTCTTTTTCAAGGAGTAACACTTTATTTATGGTTGTTCTGGAACCCTAGATTGCCATAATGCTTTTGCCTTGCTTGTGAGGCCACCAACAGAGCAGGCTAATGTGCTGCTCAGTTTCCAGATGACGTCAGATGACCTTCCAAAAGAAAACTGGCTAAAGATGCTGTGTCGACATGTAGCCAACACCATTTGTAAAGCGGATGCTGTAAGTTCTTACACCCATTGTTGTCATGAAAATTTAAACTCTGTGGCAGTGTCTTCACCCCCAGAATAAATCTGTATGGTTCTAATGCCATATTAAATTACAATTTTAGTTTGCATGTGTTCAGGAAAATTGTTTTAATAAACTATTGTGGAAAAGGTTTTTAAAAGATTATACACAAAAAACATTAATTTTATTGGAATTTTTGGATATGCCTGTTGTAGGCTTTGAAATGTGTTGAATCAGAAAATGTACAGTTTTGTAGATTTTAGAATATCTCCATCATTTTTATTGTGTGAATACCTCTAATCTGGAAATCTTAAATCTGCAGTGCTTTAAAGTCCGAAATTTATTGATTGGCCTGTTGACATTTTTTAGAGTATCCATCATTTCCGATTTTCAGATAAAGATGTCAAACTGCAGTAAAGATATTTTGTTCTTGTTTGAATCTTGAAAGCAGGAAGTGGGTTGGGTTGTAGCATGTATCTTTTCTTATCAGCTCAGTTTGCCAGTATATTTTTCTTATGTCATCATGAGATATAATTTATGCTATACAGATGAAAGTGGGGTTGGATGAGAAAAATCAAAATATTGAAGTTAAATGACTTTACAGAAATCTGGTAGCCTATGAGAGATGTTGGATTGAACTAGATCCCCTGAAGGGTGAATAGGATTTCCTTAACGCTGCAAATGAGGTACACGTGTGACCCACAGATAGAGAAAAATTAGAGAGAAAGTGTTGTGACTCTTTTAGAATAATAGTACAATGAGATTTCCTTTGACATTTGTAGGCGAATAAAATATTTTGTCATGTTAAATCTGTCCTTGACAGACATTTAGGCATAAAATGAAGTATCTAATTTTTTTTAGATGTATTTTTATGTATACGAAAGGCAGTGCTTTAGATTGAGAAAGAGAGACCGAGACAGAGGTCTTTTCTTTCATCCAGTGTTCACTGCTCCAGAGACTGCCGTGGGCAGGGTTAGAGCGGTCAAAGCTAAGAGCCAGGAATTTCATCAGGTCTCCTGTGTAGGGGCAGGGCCTTCTGCTGCTGCTTTCGCAGGCGCATTAGCAGGGAGTTGGATTGGAAGTAGAGTGGCCGGGACTCGTCTTGAACTGGCGCCCGTGTTGTGTGCCAGCGCTGCAGGTGACAGCTTAACTTCATGTACCACAGCTCCAGCTCTAAGTGGATAGATCATGTTTGGTTTAACTTTCCTACCTCCTTGTTCAGAGACATAAAGAGGGCTTTTAAGTGATTGTTTAATTTCTATGGGCTAAGAACGTGTTGAGAATGGTTCGTTCTGTGAAAAGGCTCGTAAAGTGGAATATTATACTAATGCATGCATCTAGAATATTGTCAAGAAAAAGCGAGATAGCTTTTGCAATAAAGCTTATAAAATTGTCCATTATGAAGAAGTTTTTTCATAGTTGTAGTAATCCAAATATAAAATGGGCTTTTTCACAGTATAATGATTTCTTATTGTAGAAATTACTTCAGCATTAAAAAAAAGCCTTTTTTTTTAAAAGATTAACTTTCATTTCATTTGAAAGGCAGAGAAAAACACATACACACACACGCATACCCCGCTTCCTCCCCAACCCTGCCCATCCCCTCAAAGCACTGTTTTACTCCCTAAATGCCCCAGATGTTTACAGCTGGACTAGGCTGAAGCCAAGAGCTTATAACTAAAAGTGGAAATTCACGTGTGTGACCGTATCTCAAATACTTGACCGGTTGTTTCTTGTGTGTGCATTAGCAGAGAATTGGATTTATTTAAAAGCATAACTGAACTTGAACCCAGGCATCTCAACCGCCGATGCAACTACCCGCCCTTAATTAGAATGTCAGACTAGTTGGTTCATGCAGCCCTTTCCAGATTCATAATCCTAGTACTTACATGTAAAGTAAGTGGAAACGTTTTCCATACTGCAGTAGTATGGTGTGCTGGATTAAATCGCCGCTTGCAGTGCTGGCACCCCCTGTCGGTGGAGTGCACATTTGAATCCTGGCTGCTGTGCTTCTAAGCCAGTCCCCTAATAGTGTGCCTAGAAGATGGCCCAAACACTTGAGTCCCTGCCATGCTTATTGGAGACCCACCTGGAGTTCTGTTTTCCTCCTTTGTGGTCTGGCCTAGCCCTGGCTGTTGCAGCCATTTGGAAGTGTGTGCTCCACAAGTGGAAAATCTTTGTATCTCCATCTTTCTGTCACTTTTTCTTTGAAACAAGTAAATAAATGTTCAATATATAAAACATTATATATGTAATGTATTAAATATATTTAAATGATAAATTTATATTACCTGTTGATTTACCAGCCAGATGATGGCTAATGGCACTAGAATTGGATCTCAGTAGCCACTAGAAAAATTGCTTAAAGTATAATTAGCCACAAGATGGCAGCAAGTATTTGACTATGTTACGATTTGTGCTGTTTTGAATCATAATATCCTTTCAGTCTGTTGAAATTATTTTCTTCAAAATTATGTTTGTAAGTTCAGTGGCTTCAGCCGAGCCCTGCCTTGCATTTGAAGTTTACGTATAGTAAATTTTGAGAAGCTTTTAGTCAATATCTTGAACATTTTGTCATGTTGAAGAGAATGTATTTCTAAGTATTTAAGTGCAGAAATGTAAAACATTGTTTATTTTTTAGTGGACTTGTTTATATCCAACTCCTAGGTCTTGCAATAAGCCTTTTTTTGGACAGAGTTACAAGTAGAGAGGGACACACACACACACACACACACACACACACACATGTAGCTTTAGCTTCCACTCTAGCTTCCACTCATTGGTTCACTCTAAGTGACCACGATAGTCTGGCTCAACCAAGCTGAAACATAAAGCCTGGGAAACTCCGTGTGGATCTCCCTGTGGGTGGCAGGGGCCCAGGTTCTTGGGACATTTCCCGCTGCTTTTGCAGGTGCATTACCAGGGAGATGGATTGAAAATGAAACAGCCAAGACTCAAACCAGGCACTCATGGGATTCGTCTGAGGCAGGAGGGATTAGCACAATGTTGTCTTCCTGTTAAGTGTGAGGGGGCTAAAAATGTTCCTGAAAAATGCACACCAAGTTTTTTAATCTAAAGATATATTTTAGTTATTTGAAAGGCAGAGTTAGAGAAAGGCAGAGAAGGGCGCACACACACAGAGGGAGAGATACATTGCATTCACTGAGTTACAACCCACTGGCCAGAATGGCTGGAGCGGGGCTTAGGCAAGCAGGAGCCTTTAACTTTGCCCAGCACTCTCACGTGGGTGTAGGAGCCCAAGTACTTGGATCGCTTCTTGCTGCTTTCCCAGGTGTATTAGGGTGCTGGAATATAGAATGGAAGTGGAGTGATTGGGACTCGAACTGACATCCATTAGGATTAACAGCATTGTAGGTGGGGGCCTAACCCATGGTGCCACAGCTTTGGCCCTGCACATTAACATTTAACTTCAGTTTTCTGTGAACTTTTGAAATGGCCCTCATGTTTCTTGATGCCTTAAATAGTTGGGGCTTACTTTAATTAAAAGCAAGATAAGTGCACCTGGTTTATTATGTACCATTTTATTTATCAGACTTATTTTTAAATGACTTAAGAATTACAATTTTCAGACTGAAAGAACTTAATCTAATATTCTACAGGTACAGCTAAGGGCAGCGACAGTGACCCATGAGTGTAAAGCTCACGCTAAAATCTGATAATTCTCCTATTTAATATATATTTGCATCTGAAGCAAGCACAAGTAGTTATCCCATTTGCTGATCAAATATTCTTGACATTTTTTTTATCATGAATAGATAGCCCTTTATACTCCTACTTTAGTACTTAAAGATTAACCATTTGTGGCTGTGGCTTAGCAAGTTAAGCTTCACCTGTAACACTGGCATTTCATATGGGTGCTCTAGTTCCAATCCAGCTCCCTGCTGGAGGCCTAGGAAAGCAGATGGGAGACCTCTCCTCTGTGTAGGTCTGTCTTTCAAATAAAGAAAATAAATCTTAAAAGATGTTTAAAATTTTAATCTGTTGAAAATCTTGTATCTCAAAAAAAAAAAAAAAGAAAATCTTGTATCTCAGAATACAGTTTTTTTTTATTCCCCCCCAAATTGTAACCTTTAATTATGTGGTCCGTATTCTAAGGTTTATGTATGTTACCTGATGTTAGGTGGTAATTTTGCTGATTCCATTATAAATTTCTAACATCAAATGTGTTAAAAGTATAATTTTATTAATAAATTAAGTATTGTCACCCTTTCCTCCAGTTTGATGTAGTTGGCAAACAACTTGATAATTAAATATCCTATGCTATAATTCAGTGCTTTCACTACCAACCCTTTATATTTCTTTTTACAAATCTGACTCTCCTGTGTCTCAGTTTATATCACTGACTATTTATGAGCAGCAATATTCACTTGAAGCTTCTAAACTGGAAAGGGCGAATTTTACCTGCATGAAGAAGGAAAGTTCCCCCTTTTAGCAGACAAGTGAAAGAACTGAATCTTTTTTTTTTTCCTGTGGAGATGGATTTTTCCCGTCCTTCCTTCCTTCCTTCCTTCCTTCCCTCCTTCCTTCCTTCTGTACAGTTTGCTCACACAGGGAGTGATAGAGAGATCTTCCCTCTGCTGGTTTGTTTGCTGTCCAGCACTGAGGGACTCGATGCACAGAGCTGATAGTCATACACCTGGACTGCTGACTGCTGGTCAATACCTGGAGGTTGCGCCAGACGCTGAGTTACGGGATGCAGATGATCCACGGCTTAACCTGTGTTGCAGTGCCCGTTCCAGTACGCCCTTTTTGGAAAGCAATTCATACATTCTGAACTTTGAGAAGTTCACACACACACATATGGCACTCTGAGTAAATAATTTACTTTGCCCTTTTTATAATAAAATAAATAGCAAAGTTTTACGATTTTAAGATTTTAGGTGTACAGTTTAATTACATTAAGTATGTTCATATTGTTTTGTGGTTATATGACATTCGCCTTTAGAATCTTTTTATCTTCCCAGACTGAGACTCTATTGCCTTTTATATGAAGGTACTTTGAAAAGTTACAGGAAATTATAAAGGCATTTAAATATTTTGCACTAAAATAAACATTTAATTCCACTTTCTACAAACTTTTTAAAGATTAGTCTTTCTTCAGTACCTCACTTAAGATGCTCTTAAACAATAGAATGATAGAATAAATGTATAATCAGAAAAGACACAAAAAGAACACGGAATGTAGAAATTGAAAAAAAGAATAGCTGAATAGCATTTTCCAATTTTGTCATGAAATATGTAAATGCAGAAAAATAATGTGTAAGAAATGTCTCAATGCGAGTGGTGATTGGTCAGCAGAAGTAGGAAGGATTTTTTTTAAACTGTTAATCTTTCAATATTTGTGCATTTATCTTAAAGACGGACTGACCGAAATAGATAAGTTATGTCTGATTGTTTTAGGCTCCAGATAGCTTCAAGACAGTGGGTTGCAGGAGTGATGGCCAAGCTGGATTCAGGAGCCAGCAATGTGCTGCTGCTTCCACATGCGTGGGCTGTGACCTGCTGCTTCCTGGGCCCTGTGCTAGGATGGTGGCTGAGAACTGTGGCTGTCTGTGGCTTGTTACAGCAAGCCAGCATCCCAAGCTGCACTTGAATCTGCTTGGCCACAGCACCTGTCTCAGGAATGATTTGTTTTAAATTTAGGTGTTTTATATTTTTTTAATTAAAGGCTTTGTAAAAAACTTTATTTGAAACCCAGAGTAATGAAAGCGGAGTTTTTTTTTTTTATTATTTTTAAGCTACACAAAGTAATTATAGATAGTTTAGGAGAGCATAATGTGTACGCATTTCAGTGTATACATACAACATATAATGATCAGAATATGGTAGTGGGCATTTTGTCATTTAGATAAATTTATTTTTATTGATTGGGAACATTAAAAATCCTGTCAACAAGGTATTTTGAAAGAAAGAATTAATAGCAATCAGGTATTCTGATTCATTAGAAATTTATTCTTCCGAGCCCAGCGCGATAGCGTGGTGGCTAAAGTCTTCACCTTGAATGCACTAGGATCCCATATTGGCACCAGTTCTAATCCCGGCAGACCAGCTTCCCATCCAGTTCCCTGCTTGTGGCCTGGGAAAGCAGTCCAGGATGGCCCAAGGCCTTGGGACCCTGCACCCGTGTGGGAGACCTGAAAGAGCTCCTGGCTCCTGGCTTTGGATTGGCTCAACTCCGGCCGTTGCGGCCACTTGGGGAGTGAATCATCGGACGGAAGATCTTCCTCTCTGTCTCTCCTCTCTGTATATCTGCCTTTCCAATACAAATAAATAAATCTTTAAAAAAAAAAAAAGAATGAAATTTAATCTTCCTATCCAGCTTTTTATTCATTCTCCGCCCGTAATCCTCCGTTATTCCACACTCTACCCAGTTTCTGGTAGTCACTGCTCTTCTCTCCACCTCTATGAGATCAGCTTGTCAGCTTGTGAATAAATGCACTGTCTTTCTGTAACAGATACGCTTAATATAAGTTTGTCCATTTGCATCCATGGGAATACAAATGACATTTCATTTTGTTTCTATGGCTGAATATGTTCCATTAAGAAAAATATGAGTGCAGCTGGTTCTTTGCTATGCTGATTTCACTGCTCTTGGATAAAAACCATAGTAATGGAATTACTGGGTTATGTGGCCATTCTATTTCTAGTTTTTGAGGAATCTCTCTACTGTTTTTCCTAATAGCTGTGCTAATTCACTTTCCCTCCTACACTATTTCGGAATTTCTTTCTCAGCATCCTTCCCAAAGTCTGTTATTTGTTGTCTTTTTGATAGTACTGTCTCAAATGGGTAAAGATGGAATCTCATTATGGTTTTGGTTTGCACTTCTCTGAGACTTGAACACTTTTTCATATATCCTTAGCCATTTATATTTGCTTTTTGGAGAAAAAAAAAATCATTGAGATTATCCATTTTGAAAAAGATTTAAAAAAAATTGGGGAAGCATAATTAGAGAGGAGAGAAAGGGAGAGAGATTTTCCATCTGCTAGCCGACTCCCCAAATGGCTGCAATGCCAAGGGCTGGGCCAGGTGGGAGCCCAGGAGTCCGAGTGTCCCCTGTTGATGTAGTTGCCCAAGCAATTGCATTAGCACGGAGTGGGATTGGAAGTGGAGTGGGTGGGACTTGAACTGGTATCCTTGTGGGATGTTGCTGCTAGAGGTGAAGGCTTAATCTGCTCTGTTCCACACCACAACTGTAGCCCCATCTTTACATTTTAAAATAATGAAACTTTTTTTTTTTTTTTTTTTGGACAGGAGAACCTTATGTTTCCTGCAGATCCAGAATCTTTTGAAGTAAATACTAAAGATATGGACAGTACGTTGAGTAGAGCTTCTAGGGCAATAAAAAAGACTTCGAAAAAGGTGAGTTTTGAGAAAGTTATTAAAATCTATACCTAAAATATATTTTCAGATTATATTAAAATATCGTTTTCGTAAAGATCATATTGACCATACACAAAGTTGTTCTTCTGTTCTGGAAAATAACTCTAGAAATGATTTTAGTTGATTTCTTTGCCTTAGTGATTATAGTAGCTTATTGTTTCCACTCTTGTTATAGTAGCACTTCCATAAACTAAGATAGAAATTCACTGTTCACATTTTATCTAGATATGTAGATAGTCATCTGATGTTGGCTCCAATATTTCCTTAGCAAAAATTAGATAACAGAGTCAGGTGAACAAGGATCTCTGACTGATCTAAAAGCATGTCTTTGAATGATGAAGATATTTGCACTTATCCGATTTATTGGGGACTGCGTGATTATCTTGGTAACTAAAGAACTAGAATTTTAGTGTTCAAGAGAAATTTCCAGCCCCAAGCGTTCTCTTTCCCTCGAAGGAGAAGCCTTGAACTGTCTGTTTCCCATCATTTAATGTATGTGATGTTTCATAGATAAGCATGTTAAATGATGACTTAAATGAACCCCTTTACTCTTTGAATAAAGAAAATGAGGTAGATTGAGTTTGGATTAGAATTTCCTAACTAAGTGATGGCAGAATCTGTCAGGAATCCAGGTGAGGTGATTTTCTTCCTTTCTTTGGCTTCAAGGTAAAATAGGCTGTACTGTATTGCATTTTCTCATTACTTTATGCCCAAGAGATTGTAATTTTGCCATGAATTGTGTGTAGATCATTTTTTAATGCATAAACATTTTTACCAGCTACGTTAAATTTGCCTATGCTTATTCTGTGGTCACTTTTAAAACTGCAGGTTACCAGAGCATTCTCTTTCTCTAAAACTCCCAAAAGAGCTTTCCGAATGACTCTTTCGGCATCGCATAGCTCAGCAGAAGGAAGAAGCCCTACCAGCAGCGATAAGCTGGCAGTGAGTCGTCTGCCTAGTACATCGTCATTGGCAGTGAGTGATTTTCATTTATTGATCCACATGACCTATTCGTTCATGCAGATGGTAGAGAATTCATTAATTTCTTAAAAATAGAAATGTTAGTTTTCATCTTTTGATATTTGTCAAAATTTTTTAACTGGTAAAGGCAACGTAGAAAAGCTTCACTATTAATGAACTAGAGATAAAATGTGCAGTTAATTCATTATGAAATTTCACTGAGATTAAAATGTTTAAAGTTCTCTAAAAATGAAACGCTTCAATGTGGCTTATCACTTTACTAATGCAAATGGTTATGCTTATACTTGTATAGATTGATTCAAATAATAGCAGAGACTAAATTTGATTCCTTTTGCCATTTCTGCGGTGAGTAAAATATAATATCTGAAACTTAACTTCAAAAGATCATATGGATTCTAAATTTATGCATATATTTTTAAATGTTTCCTAAACAGTCTACATTTTTAGCAATATGAGAACTACTATATACTTAATTACTTTTATGGGCATTTCTAACATATAATACTATAATTAAGTTTTCAGTAGTGTATTTGTTCCTTGCACAATTATTGTTATCCTAACCTGAGGTTAACAATAAAATCAGATTACTGATACCTCTTAGTAAGATGTGCTTATTTTCTCTGAAAGGCAGAGTTACGCAGAGAAGGAGAAATCTCTGCTGGTTCACTCCCCAAGTGACTGCAGCAGCCAGTGCTAGGCCAGGCTGAATCCAGCAGCCAGGAGCTTCAGCCTGATGTTGCAGCAGGTTCACGAGCGCAGGCACAGCGGCCGTCCTCCACTGCTCTCCAGGGTGAATTAGCAGATGCCTGGATCACTAACGCGGCAGCCTGATCTCCAGTTGGCAGCTTGGCTGTGCCACAGCACATGCACAGCAAGTTTGCTACTCATAGCAGCATATATGCAGTTTAGAAAAGCACTTACCACATGATATTGTAGTATATCATGATATCTGATGTAAGGGTACTTGAAAAAGTTTATGAAGATAAAACTAAGTATTAGTTTATCTTGATACATAGACACAGGTAAATTTAATTTTTAAAATGGCTTTCCCCATATATTAAGAAAAAAACTTGTCATTAAAATACACTCATACTTTAAATTCCATTTTTCCAGTATCTTCTGGTGTGTGTGTGTGTGTGTGTGTGTGTGTGTGTGTAAAGAAAAATCATACATACGCAAATGATGTGATAATGTGATTATATACATAAAGGCAGTTTGGGTAGTGATGAAGAGCATGGATTCTGGAACTTAGGAACCATATAAATTTTGGCAAGTGCTTTGTGTGTGAAATGAGACTGAAGTGGTGTAAGAATGAAATGAATTAACGTACGTGACGTACTTAGAACACTACCTGGGACATTGTGGATGTGCTAGTGTTTTATGAGAGGCTATCATTTTTATATAAAATGTATATAAGCCCAGCACGTAATACTCGAGTTTTTTAAACAGCTGGAACCTTTAGTTAACATATCAGAGTTAAGACTGAATTTATGAGTGTATTTTCCAGATTTTGATCTGCCTTATCCAGATTTTGATTTTTAACTTTGAAGAATGGCAAAGAAAAAAATACTTAGTTGGCAACAGAAAAATATAAAAATATTTAGATAAATTAAAATTGACAAAATGCAGATAAGCGTTTATTTTTTTAATTGTATTATAAACTTTCTTGAACTCTTAAGTACTGTTTCTCGTAATTATTGTAAATATTGACTTTTCAAACGAAGGGAAATGAATATTTAAAACATTTTCAAAGATTAATGTATATGTGGTTATGTCATTTTAATGTTTTTGATATATATGTATGTAAAGTACTTAAAACATTTTGAAGACATTCATGTCTCAATTGCGTGTTTCTGTTCTAACAGATTACCCATTCTGTTTCCACAAGCAATATCATTGGATTTACTAAGCATTTTTATGTTCAGCGCTCAGACTCTACTCGTGGGCACTCTCATTACTCCTGGTTTCGATCTATACATCATTCTTCTTCCCAGGCTAGTTTTTCATAGATACTAGAAGGAAATACTAATTTTCATAAAAGTTATATCCAACTCATCTTTGACACTTGTGAAGAATTAGGAGATATGCCAAACAATAATGGAAGCAAGCCTCGTGAACTTTAATGTGAGCTCATTAGCTATTTGAAATGTGTATTTCTAGAAAGGTGGAAGTATTCTTTCCCGCTGAATTACATTTTAGGTGGATGGGAACTTCTGAATTCACAACTTTGTTTCTGCATTGAATGTAGAACAGTTTATGCTTAATGGAGTTTTCTTTCAATATGGCACATAATATTTTTGTAAAGTCATATACCCTTAATTTTAGAAAATATACAAGGTGCATTAGAAATTTTCTTATGTAGGAAAGTGCCATGTTTTGTTGTTGTTCAGGATTTATATATATATTTAAAATCCAATTACAGAGATAGGGGTTTCTCAAATTCACGCTCCTGAATTTTTATTTTTTTAAGAATTATTTATTTGAAAGGCACAGTGACAGAAAGGAGGGGAGAGACAAAGAAGAGATTCCCCATCTGCTGGTTCACTCCCTCAGGTACTGCAGTGGCCAGGGCTGAGTCAGGGCGAAGCCAGGAGCCATGATCTTCAGAGTCTCCCATGTGGGTGTCGGGACCAGTTGGGCTCTCTTCTGCTTTCCACAGTGTGTTTGCAGGGAGTTATATTGGAAGAGGGGCAGCTGAGCCTCAGACTGATGCCAGTATGGAATGCTGGTGTCTCAGACAGCGACTTGATGTGCCCTGACATAGTGCCAGTCCAAGGGCTTTGTCTCTTCACTTCACAAATTTGTTTACCAATAAAACACTGAATCATGAATATGTGGCAGAAGTAAGCCAGGGTCTTTCCAAGCTGAATGGTGGACTAATAAACTATTATGTCTACCACATTTGGTTTGTGTTCTCAGAATACTAAAATGATCTTAATTTCATTCCATCGCCTTTCTTTATAATTTATTTAGATGTATAAATAATTAGACTTCATGGTGAACTATGTAATTATTTTAAAAAATTTAACACATGAAATAATGTTTTATCTTCACAGGGTATCCCGTCTCCTTCCCTTGTCAGCCTGCCTTCCTTCTTTGAAAGGAGAAGTCATACTTTAAGCAGATCTACAACTCATTTGATATGAAGCCTAAAAACTTAAAGGACAGAGATGTATTAATAGCTCCTACTCAAAAGAGACACTGACTTAGATGGTACTTGGAACTAGCACTTGGTGGAAGCTGGGAAGATGTTAACACTAATGTTTGCCGTTTGATTTTCTTCTCGAAGGAGTAAAAGTTTGTCTTACATTTTTCAAGCCACTGTAAAAAATTTTAATGATTTTGATGTAACTTATCTCTTTGATTGAATTCCTCATTCAATGACCAGTAATTTAAGTTATTCATGATATTAGTAGTTTTGCAACCCTGATGCAGTAAATAAATGTTATTGGTGGGTACCAAATCCTGCTGTAAATCCATTTGTATAGTATCAGTGAATGAATTTGTGGAAATACATATTTGTGAATCTCAGTTTATATAGAAATTAAATAATACTACAGTGCTTACCAGTTGAAATTTCTGAATAAATAGAGGAATCTTCAAGATGTAGCATCTGCAATGTAAAGGGTTTTCCCAATAAGACCAATACTTAAAGGGAATTGCTTGAAAATACTTTTCAAATTGAGAGACTCACAGAAGGATTAGAAAGTACTCATTTTGTGAAAGCAGATGATTGATAAATACTAGCAGCTATTTCCCAGGCAATATTTATGGTGATTTTACACTGGCAAATCTTGTTAGTTTGGTAGTGTGTGGACCTGTGTTTTGGAAGACAAAACCATGAGAAAAGTGTAGTAAAGGCTGTTTATATTTTTTCATGGAATAATTCTAAAGTTGTTATCATTTTTATAAATCTGTGAAATGCACAGATACAGATATAGTCAATTTTTATAGTGGTCTTATAATTACATGTAAAATTGAAATTTTATCTGGTGTTTTAAAATATTTTTCAAAGCCCTGATGTCATCTTTCACAATAGTCTTGTTTTCTAATAGTCAGGAATACAAAATAGTCAGATTCCTATGATTAAATGCATTTTTTAAACTTGCTATCTGTTTTGTTGGGGCCAAGGCAAACATTTAATTATCATTTAACAATGTGCAGTTATCTGCTTTAATTGTTTAACTGACCATAGCTTTTTTTCCTGTGCTATCAATGTGCTACTTCAGCAATTAGCTTATGACCCCTTTTTTGCTGTATTTTAAAAGCAGTTATGTTAATAAGAGCTTTGTAAATAAATGCTTAAAACTCCAAAATATTTTATGTCTTAAAATAACTCCTTCAATTTTTCTAGCCAATTGTTAATTTCTGCATCAACTCCTTCTCCATTGTTTATGTGCCTATCCTTCCTCCATTAATATTTTGAGCATTGTACACTGGTCTGTATAGTGAGTGTATTTAATCTGAATTCTTCATGCCATGTAGAATCGAGGCAGTGAATATTATGATGTCATATGTAAGATTTTGTGTTTATGTATATCATTCTGGGTGAAAACATATAACCTTTATCATTTTGGGGGACCAGAAGGAACTATGATTCCCTGCCAAAGGATGTGGTTTCCTGAGATAAGGTGTGAATTTGGAAAAATATTGGCAAAATATAGCTGGTAGTTAATTTTAACTTTAAAGGGACTGCTTTCAGTTTTTTTATTATTCACTATCTGCAACATATTTAGATTTTAGGTATATATTTTTGTTATCAGATTAAAACTATGTATTTTCCATGTGGTAAGGTGTGGGATGAAAGGATTTAAAAATAGAATTAGGAAATAAGTTTTGCAAGTTATTTCAAAGTTTAAGCATCTTTTTTTTTTTGTATATATTTCCATGAACTTGCAGATTCTTCGTGTGCGCTATGGATGTTAAGTATAATGAATTATTTCTTCTCTATCAAGAAAAGAATGTGTAAAAGTACAGGAGGGTTCAATATAATGAAATTCATCAGTATGGATTGCATTAGCAGTGTAAAGGATAAAGTCTTATGATTTATCAGTAGATTATAAAAGACTGATAAAACTCAGCCACTATCCTCTCTCTCTTTATTTATTTTTTTTTTTGTTATTAATCTAGAGAACAGACTCAATGCGCTCTGTAGACGTGGCTATGAGAAGGTAGTCACACTTCCGTAGCTCCCCTTAGCCATTGTAGTTTTTCTTTCTTTAAAGAAAAGTATTTCTTTTTCTTTTTAAGATTTATTTCTTTTTATTGGGATGTCAAATTTCTTTTTACAGAGAGAAGGAGAGACAGTGGTTTCCTCAGCTGGTTCACTCCCGGAGCTGAACTGATCCAAAGCCAGGAGCTTCTGAGTCCCATGCAGGTGCAGGGTCCCAAGGACTTGGGCAATCCTGTATTGCTTTCTTGGGTCACAGGCAGGGAGCTGGATGGCAAGTGGAACATCTGGAACACGAACTGGTTCCCATATGGTGTCTTTGCAAGATGAGGATTTAGTCACTAGGCTTACTGCGTGGAACCATAGCCACTGTTCTTAGCAGGTGTTCTAATTAAGGAATGTTGCAACATGACTAGCTGAGTTACTATGCTTACAGTGAATATCTTTCTAAAAGAAAAAAAAATCAGGCATTTCTGTCAAGAAAAAAAATACTTTTAATATTTACTATGCATTAACAATATAACAGCATATGATACTTTTTAAAAAAAGATTTATTTATTTTTATTGGAAACGCAGACATATAGAGAGGAGGAGAGACAGAGAGGAAGATCTTCCATCTGATGGTTCACTCCCCAAGTGGCTGAAATGGCCGGAGCTGAGCTAATCCAAAACCAGGAGCCCAGAGCCTCTTCCTGGTCTCCCACACGGGTGCAGGGTCCCAAGGACTTGGGCCGTCCTCAACTGTTTTCCCAGGCCACAAGCAAGGTGCGGGATAGGAATCGGGGTTGCTGGGATTAGAATTGGCGCCCATATGGGATCCCAGTGTGTTCAAGGAGAGGACTTAGCTGTTACGCTATTGCGCTGGACCCATGTAAGATACTTTTAATACATAGCAATGGAAGGAGCTTTGAGAAATTGAATCCAGAGTGGTGAGTGTATTGGTGCCAGTGCAGCAACGGGAAATGCTAGAGTTGATTCTTGACTGTTGCCGCTGCAGGTACAGGAGGTGATACCTTGAGACTGAAGTCCATTATGGTTATGGTTATGAGTTAATACCCTACATGGGTCCTAAAGCTCTACCAATCTGAACGCCATTGTCAGTAATAGATTAAAGAATGTGAGTATTTCAGAAAAAGTCAAAATTGCCTTCCTGAAGAAATCTCACTTAAAAGCCAAAGAAGAGATGAAAAGCCACGAGGAAAGTCAACGAATGAACCAAATAGTGTCTGTTCCAAGGATTGGAAATGGTGGATCCATAGGATATCTTAATGATCATATAAAAAATAGCTCACGCTGAGTAATAGGCCAGCATTAATTAAAAATTGCAAGAGCCTTATATAAAAAAAGAACAAAGTTACACTTAGAGACACACCTGAGGAATAAACTAATGAGCTAACATTTTTGAGAAAACTATTCAGGAACCCTTAGGGAATTTAAAAGTACTAGAAAGTATTTAAGAGGTATAAAAAATTGGAATGTAACTATGTAACATCTCTTCAGTTACAGATACCTGGAAAGAGATTTACCTGGAAAGGATGGGAGGCAATACTTGAAGAGATAGCTGAGAGAACAACATGGCACTTAAAATTAGTCGTGCACAGGAAGTACTGAGTGCAATCAATTAAAACATTCTTGCTGAGAAGACAAAGTGTAGGAGAAAAATGGAGAGTACCAAGATGTTTGTGAATAGAAAAAGGACAATATGAAAATGGAGTTTTCCCTCACACAAATTTATATCTAACCAAAGCTTTTTTTAGCAGATTTTCAAAAGATTTATGTTTTACCTATGGAAAAGATTTATGGAGAATGAGACAGATCTTCCATGCATGGATACATTCTCTAGTGGCTGCAGCAGCTATGGCCAGGAGTCAGAAGCTTCATCTGGGGGGGTCTCCTGTGGGTAGGAAGGACCCAAACACCCAGATATTCTGTAGCAGGGTTTCCCAGGTCCAAAGCAGGGGCAGGAACCAGGGTTCCTGTGGGAGGCTGGCATTGTAGTGAGTAGCATTACCTGCTACATTGCTATGCCTGCCCCATGGATTTTTAATTTTTTTAAAATATAATGCAAAAGTTTCAATATAATAAGTTGAAGACAGGCAAATGGACCTAGCAGCAAAATTAAATAAGGGACTTTGAATATATCACATAGAGAACTTCATTGCAGATAGAGTGCTCGCCAGCTTTGATGGTGGAAATCCGTATGGGTGCTGGTTTGAACTGTGGGCTCCTGACGTCAGCCTTACCTGGCCATGGCCATATGAGGAGTGAGCCAGTGCCTGTAAGAGTCCCTTTCTGTCCTTCTTGCAGTAACTTTCAAATTAATCTTAAAAAAAAAAAAAAAGCAAAGAAACAAACATACAAAAAATCCTCCAAAAGATAGCCTGAAAAAGAGAATGCCAAAAAAATACAGAGGTGGTTCATAAAAAATGAATCAAGTCACCCTTAAACGTTTAGGATAGTTACTTTACAATAAAACAATGATCTTAATATGTTAACATTGCATTTTAAGACATCCAGATATTCAATAACACTTCTGCTTGTGATGTTACAGAAAATAGACACTTTCTGAGGTGAATACAGAAGCACTATAACCTAGATGAAAGGGAATTTAGTAATATCTGACACAACGTATGCCATTTCCTTTGATCCAGTGCTATAGCTTTAATATTACTGGTCCCCCAAACTAATGTAGGAGTTTCAACTCCCAAGTCATTACGTTGATACTAAGAGGGTGGGTGGGGGATTTACTCTAATTATGGTGTCTTTGGAGCCTTTGGTGGCTTCACTGGGACCTCCGATTAATGGACAGCCACTCACAGCCCTGTTTCCTGTTGTGTAATGTTTTGTGCTGCCTTGAGATTGTGCCAGCAAGAACGTGGTCACCAGGGGCCAAACCAGTGACTGCAGCCCTCTTAGAACCGTGAGCCAAGACAGACTTTGTGGGTAACTTTAGCCCACCTCAGGTATTTTGCTAGAGTAATGAGACGTTGATAACTAGTGATTCTCTGGATGTTCGTTTTTCTTAAAGCTTGCTGACACATACAAATGACCACTGCAGCAGCAGTATGGTGCAGCACTCTGGACACGAATGGTTATTGGTAAGGGATTTTATGAATAACAATCTACACAATGGAATGCTCTGCAGTTGTGAAAATAATTTGTATACTTGAATCATTTCCAGAACACAGTTTTTGGCATGATAAAAGTGAGATACAGAACAGTGATTATTATATGCTTTTATGTAAAAAAGAAAGTGCAATGTGGTAGCCTAGTGGTTAAGGTCCTTGCCTTGCACATGCCAGGATCGCATTTAGTCAGTTCTAATCCCAGCAACCTTGATTCCCATCCAGCTCCCTGCTTGTGGCCTGGGAAAGCAGTTGAGGACAGTCCAAAGCCTTGGGACCGTTCACCTGCATGGGAGACTAGGAAGAGGTTCCTGGCTCCTGACTTTGGATTGGCTCAGCTCTGACTGTGGTGGAAGATCTTCCTCTCTGTCTCTCCTCCTCTCTGTGTATCTGCCTTTCTGATAAAAATAAAATAAATCTTAATAAATCTCTTAAAAAAGAAATAATGCATGTAATACGATAGTATTACATAGCATATTTAAAGGTATGGTCACTAAATACATGAATAGACCTCAGTGTTGCTAAGGTTGCAGTTGGGTTTCATGAAAGATTAATTAATGGACCTTGGTTGGTAGATAGATTTTATTTTTTTGAGTGGAAACCCTCAGGTACAGGTTAATTGTTCAGGAGGTCAAGCTGAAGGAACAGAAAGAGTGAACTGAGTGTTGAAGATGAAATTGGTGTGAAAATTACATGTAAAAAGAGAAAAAACCTTTGACGGGTCCAGCCCTGTACAGTAGGCTAACCCATTGCTTGTGATGCTGACATCCCACAGTGAGTTTTGCAGTCTCTACTTCAAATTCAGCTGTCTTTGAATGCACCTGGAACAGCGGTGGAAGATGCTGGAGGTACTTGGGCCCTGAACTGCTGTGTGGAATGGAGTTCTAGGCTCTGGGTTTGGACCTAGCCCAACCTGGCTGTGTGGCCCTTGTCTGTCACTCCCTTTGTCTCTGTCCCAGAGCCTTTAAAATCCATCATTCCTGAAAGCTTGAAGGAGGCTTGAATTTGAATAAG